TTACGCGTACTATGCAATTGGCGATCAATAAAGTCTCTGAAAACTTCTGATCGAGGATTACCCCTACTTTTATCTCAGGATTAGACACAGAACACTCAATAATGGTTTCGGTTCTAGCAGGAATTAAGTAAGCGGGATCATGAAAGTGTAATTTTAAGGATGAATTACCCAGATGGAGCAGATTATTATTATAATTAATGTTGCAGTTATGCATATTCAGCATATCGGAGCCGATAATTCCATCATAAGGTAAATGTATTACGTCAATGACGTGGAAGGGATGTGATATTGTGGATTTAGAAAGCTGTAATTTTAATCGGAAGTGGCCTCGAGTATTGATGGGTTCTTCTTTCGAGTCAATGCCTTTTAATTGAATCGTTTCTTTGATAAGTCTAGGGTGCTTTTCTATGCATGAATGTTTTATCAAACTTACAGATGACCCTGAGTCTACTAACAAGGATAGCGGGATGTCTGATACGGAGGAATTAACTAGAACGTGTGGTAATAATGTTTTTGCAGGGTTATTTGTAATTTCAAAAATATTTGATTTAGAAGGTTTTGGCGGTTTACCTTGTTTTTGTATCGATACAGTGGAATTAGGCAGACCAACATGAGGTTGCTGCACGGATACAGTGGATTTTGGCAGATCAACATGACGTTGTTGCGCGGATACAGTGGATTTTGGCAGATCAACATGACGTTGCTGCGCGGATACAGAGGATTTTGGCAGATCAACATGATGTTGCTGCACGGATACAGTGGATTTTGGCAGATCAACATGACGTTGCTGCGCGGATACAGAGGATTTTGGCAGATCAACATGATGTTGCTGCACGGATACAGTGGATTTTGGCAGATCAACATGATGTTGCTGCACGGATACAGTGGATTTTGGCAGATCAACATGACGTTGCTGCGCGGATACAGTGGATTTTGGCAGATCAACATAACGTTGCTGCACGGATACAGAGGATTTTGGCAGATCAACATGACGTTGCTGCGCGGATACAGAGGATTTTGGCAGATCAACATGATGTTGCTGCACGGATACAGAGGATTTTGGCAGATCAACATGATGTTGCTGCACGGATACAATAGATTTTGGACTTGTGATACCGTTTTTTGAATTATGACGTCCCGCACGGCACCGGGACGAGACGATTACTCGTTTTTTGGATCGGCATCAACGGTGTCATAACCCTCTGTGGGGTTAGCCGAATATCCATCGTTATTGTCTGAGGATTCGTCGGAAATGAAGTTGACGCGTTGTAGCGTTCTTTGCTGATTTGGGTCGAAATTCTTGAAACGGTTGTTGTTGAACTCCCTTTTCCGACATTGCTCTAAGGTATGACCTGGCGTTTTACAGTACCTACAGAATTGAGTAGAGGAATTGTTGTAGTTATTATTAGATCTGTTAGGGTTATTAAAGTTAGGTTTTACGTTGTACTGGTTTGAGGTCGAGGGTTGTTGATTTTGGTTAGGACGAATAAATTGAGTGTTTAGTTTCGTAGCGTTTGACCTATCTTGTCGAGGTTGTTGAGTGCTTAACGAATTCGGACCTTGTCTGGATAGGGACTGTTGTATTTTTTCTTCTGAAATAGCCATATTTATGGCTTCATTTAGAGTTTTTATTGGTTTACCCCTGACAATGTTAAAGATACGGGGTGTCAATCCCATTTGGAAATGATGGAGGGCTAATTCCTCCATGGCTGCCGTTCGTCCTATCATCTCTCGACTTTTATGACCGTGTGAGATAGATATTTCGGTTAACAGATGAGACAGGCATGTCTCGATCCTTAGAGCATATTGACTTACATTTTCATTTATTTGTTGTTTACACTCCTGTAAATCTGTTAAAAGATGGGCATAGTGCTTTCTTTCACTGAATTGTGTTTTTAGAAATTCTTTCAGTTGTTGCCAATTTGAAAATTCTTTGATGGAGCATGCGGTTTCCGCCTTGCCCTGTAGTTGGCATAGAATGTATTTAAAGAGTATGTCTTTTTGTGATTCTGATGCTAGTTCATAGGCATTATTGCAGTTTACTAAGAAGGAATTTAGTTTTTCTCTGCAGCCATCGTATGGCTTTATGAATTTTAATAACGTGGAAAGCTCAATTTCTAATTTAGATGTTACAGTTTTAATTTTTTTTGATTGTGATCTAGTAGAAGGTCCTTGAGGGGGAGGGCAGAGGCCTTGGCCTTCCTCTTCGGTATCAGTAATGTTAATTTCCAATTTTGGACTTTGGGATCTCTCAGTCATCTTAATAATTACAAATACACAATAAGGTTAAAATAACAATAATTAGAACAATATACGTATGCGACGGAATACGTTACAGAATAGAGTAATGATATTTAAAAATCTCAAATATAATGTATTAGTTTTAAATAAGATATTAGCAATGACCAAGTGTATGGTTTCACTTACTGGAATGCGGACAGCGCGATAAGAATAACGGACATGGTTTCTTGGAAGATTCACAGGCGAAGCGTAGGCGTTGATAAGCCGAAGCCGAAGGTCGTCGCGTCGTTGGAGATATTACACCGGTCACAGCACTAACTTGGCTTGACAATGGGTGTAATCCTTCTGGTTCTGGACAAAGACCGGCTGCAGCACGGGTGGTGCACAGCAATGGGCCTTTCACAAGCTTTATCACGAACACTGACGTCCAGGAGTCGGGCTCGAACTCGGTGCACTGACACTTTGTACACTATGGAGTCGGCAATTACACTCAAATACACTCGCGCCGAATTTGAACTGTTTAAGAGACGAACCGGGGACTCTTTTCGAATCCCACCGCTGCCACCAAATATGTTACGAGTCTCGGGGAACTTGTCTTTTTAAAAAGAAATAAAATACTAAAGTAGGGTTGAGACAACCGTCTGGCTTGGATGTCGGGATGAGACTGGTCATGAGTGGACGGGTCGTTCGGCTATTGATGGAGAAATGCTGAGTGTGCAGAGTAGAAGTGTGGGGTGTGCAGGAATGCTTACATAAGGCATCTCTAACAGTTCGCGTAATTAATGAACTTTGAAAATGAAGGCCTTCCGTATAATCCCTTGTACCCTATGGGGTAAAATTTTCAAATATCCTTTATTTTGAATCTAATTTTATTATTCATCAACATCATCAACAGGCTATAACAGTCCACTGCTGGACATAGGCCCCTCCTTAGAAAGGAGGTTTTGGCCTACTATACACAGTGGCCAGACGGGTTTTTTATAGGGTATGTTTCAAGTTTTCCTTCTTTTTGCAGTGCTGTTGTCCTGTGCAGTTTGTTCCCTTAGTCGGCTCTTACGAAACCCACGGGATGAATAGGGGTGGTGACATTCCGTATTCTTAATCCGTCAGCACGGTTATGTTACCTTAAGTCGATCTAATTGCGCTAGTCTCACGAAATACAAATGTATAGTTTCCAGATTTTTCCTTGTACTTGTAATATAAGACGATGTTACTTGCCAAATTTCAGAGTTATAGTTCAACGGGAAGTATGAATTTTAATTCCCTTGAGAGTGTCGAAATATGTGTTAAGAATGACCACCCATCAATAGACTGACCTGGCTAGGTTTGCTTAACTTTGCAAGGTGCTCTTGCACGTATACGTTTCTTAAATTCCAGTTTTATCAAATAACAAATGGTTTTGGTTGACCTTTCCAACGGGTTTCTACGTTTTAATATCGAGACCTTTATTCCGCATCATCTGTTCTATGTTCGTGATATATATTTATTATAAAGAGACAACTCCCGCACTAGGAATATATCCTGTGTAGCGAGGAACTTTATAAACATACATGAAACGGACACACATAACACAATCAATAATCACAATACAATTTGTGGGTCACACAAAGTGTCGTCCCATGTGTTCGACACCATGCCACCATCGGACCCATACCATTCAGCGCAGTAGGAAACGGCGTGGCGACCTTTTAAACCACTACTCCATCCGTGCAGTCAAATATTGACTGTAAGACATTTTTTTAAAGACAACTCCCGCATTAGGAATAAATCCTGTGTTGCGGGGGACTTTACAGGCATTCATGAAATGAACTAGGAGAACCCAAACTCAGAACAACAATTTGTGGAACACACAAAGTAACAATAATAATAACCTCACACATCCCACACACGGCAGTCTGGTCCTAAACTAGGCAGAGCCTGTACTATGGTAACCAGACTGCTGATAAACATACTTATATATTTCTAAATAAGTACACACATATTATAGACTAGCTGACCCTGCAAACGTTGTTTTGCTATTTACATTATTATTATTATTATTTTTTTTGAATTTCTTAAAATTCGTTCTTAGCTGACCTCTACTCGGTGAAAAGAATATTCCTACCAAATTTCAAGTCTTTATCTCTCCTCCCTCCCACTCTAATGGTTCCAGAGATATCGTGATGAGTGACTATATACGTGGAAATCTCTTATATATATAGATAGATAACTTACACCCAGATACTGAAAAAATTATATGTTCATCACACAATATTTGTGCGAATTGAACCCACTATAGTATTCGGGGTCACTAACCACTAGACCAACAGGACCGTCACAAAGTTTGTCACATGTTTGGATCGAACCACCGCAGTAGGAAGCGGAGAAAAAATTCGCCGAATTGGTCGAAATCTTCCCGAGATTTGAGCTTAGCAACACATTTGACGATTCATTTTTATTTATATAGATATAGGGGAGAGTAACCAATATTGAACCGGCGTTTAAATTGAACCAATTCTGTTTTTCTATCAAAATGACACTATTTTTTTACACTAGCAACACAAAAAGAAGCGCTAGCAGCGCCACTAATACTCCGCCATTTTGTAGCGCTCCTTTTTGTACACTTTTTGGTATAGTATATACCAAAAAGTGCCATATTGGTAGAAATACAGAAGTGGTCCAATTTAAGCGCCGGTTCAATATTAGTTACTCTCCCCTACATATACCTAACGTGTAACTGTGTTAAATGCCCAATTAAATAAAATTTAAATAATCTGCAGCCCTCCCCGATACTCCCAGCATTGAGAAATGGTTGACTAACAAACTGCAAGAGGGTGCTGTAGTGGGCGTAGACCCTTATACATTCACCAGGGAAGAATGGACGCCGTTGCAGGTAAGAGCAGAAGATTTAGTCTTTTCTGAGGTCTAAATTTATTTTGAACTTTACTTACAACTTAGTATCTTAAGCACATTCGCTTAAACTCAAATATACACACGACCGTCTGATTCCAAATTAGAGAGTGCCTATATTATGGTAATCGGGCGGCGGTAGTCACCATGAGGTGACCCGTCTGCTCTATTGCCCCCTATTTCATGAGAAAAGAAGATATTACGTATCATACCACAAAAAATGAGTCTGAATACAAGGACTTTGTTCTCGTCCTCCGATGAGAATTCACAAAAACATTTCAAAGACATTTCTTGTTGTTGGTTGGAACTAATTTAATATTACACATAACATGAATTTATTAAAACCTTTAGTTAATTGTGTGTGTGTGTGTGTGCGCGTGCGTGCGTGCGTGCGTGCGTGCGTGCGTGCGCGTGTGCAACGCCGTCTTAGGCCCACACAAGAACGGTTACGGTTAAGTAAATAAAAAGTTATTATAAAATATTTAAATTAATATACCATCCATTTCCTATCTGAAAAAATTGGCGATGCCACATTTTCTGTCACATTCGGCAATTGGCTTGTCATTGCTCAGGGTTGCTACAAAGTCGCTAGCAATGACTCATTTACCTATTTTTTTTAGTCAGATTATATCGATCTAAACTAGAAAAAATATTGTGTAGTGTAAGCGAATTTATCGCTCTATGTATTCGTTTTTCGGGACCCCGTGACAATGGGGTCCCTGGGCATGGGCACGGGTGTGTATGTTAAAGACAGTACTGCGTGTGTGTGTTTATGTGTTGTACATTTTAAAGAGAGTCTTTATAGATCATTCAAAGCTCGTATTAGCTATTCACATTGTGTTTCATTCATTCAATTTTCTTAAATGACAGAGACAACAAGAGACTTTCAAAGTATTTCTTTTCACACATGTATCATCAAACAGACAGCATTGACGAAAGCCAATATGAAACTGATGCCTGTTTGCAAGAACCTGGTCGATGACGTCAGAATTCAACTCAAAGATCCACCGCCTGCGAGACCGAACAATACAATTATACCGCTACCTGTTAAATATACTGGTAAGTTAATATATAAATGACTTTGTAAACCATTCTGTATACACACGACAAACATATACACAACAAACATACACGCCAAAACACAGATATAATTATGCATTCGCAGAAACTACACACCTACGCATGTTTTGAAATCATATCTAAATTCTGTTTTATATGTATTTTTAATACTAGTTTCTTCCCGCGGCTCCGCTCGCTTGTTTGTTGGTTATCGCGATAAAAAGTAGTTAATGTGTTTTCTCAAGAATCAAACTATCTTCATACCAAATTTCATCTAAATCGGTTCAGCGGTTATTGATTCTCCATACAAACTTCCACCCCCTTACCTCCTTACCACTTTTTTTGTAAATACATACATATTATACATAGATTACACCCAAACTCCGAAATAAAAATTTGCAGATCATACAAACGTTTGGCCCGACCCGGGAATTGAACCCGAGTTCCAGCTCAGCAGTCGCATACGCTACCACTGCACCACCAAAGCAGTCCTCTATATTTATTGCAATAGTTTTAAATTTGTATACTGTTCAAAGTCTTCTAATGTTATTTTTGTTTCTGAAAGGTAAAACATCTGGTGACAAGATCAAAGACTTTCGAAACAAGATGACTGATAATAAGGTGTCTGCTCTGGTCATCACAGCCCTTGATGAAGTCGCGTGTAAGTATTAAAGTCCGTTTTACCCAACTGATGAAAAAGAGACGGTTAATGAGTATAGTACAGAAAGGGCTACCGGAATGATACCACAGCTTCACAGAAAGGTTACCGAAGGTCCTTAACTATTGGGGGTCGGGGGAGGATCAAAGGGTGAACTTAACGCACTCGTGGCTCACAGAATACCGGTGTTAAGCAACTCCCGCACCAGGAATATATCCTGTGTCGCGGGGGACTTTACAAACATACATGAAACGGACACAGAGAACACCCAGACTCAGAACAACAATTTGTGTATTACGCAAAGTGTTGTCCCATGTGGGGATTGGATCCACAACACTTAGCGCTGTAGAAAGCAGCGAGGTGACCGCTTAAAACATTACACCATCCGTGCAGATCTCCCTCCATGTTGAGGGGAAGAGGGCTATCAGAGTGCCCCAATACATAAGTGACTTGTCAGTTGCAGGCCTATGGGTGGCGGTTGTTACTAACATTCAGGTGACCCGTCTGCTGATTTTAATGGTTTTTTTTTCCAGATACCCTCAACCTTCGCGGCACTGACATTAAGTACAACCCTGTCTTCTTTTCATATCTCATTATAACTCCGGATGCTGTTAAGCTGTTTGTGAATGGAGAACTGTCCAATGATGTGTATTCACATATAAAAGATGAAGGCTTGTCGGACTTTGAAGTCGGCCATTACAGTGAAGTTGAGGTGTATTTGAAGAAATTAGCTGTGAGTATACCTATCTATATATATACTAGCTGACCCGGCAAACGTTGTTTTGCCATATACATTTAAAAAAATAATAATAGGGGTATGAAAAATAGATGTTGGCCGATTCTCAGACCTACCCGATGTGAACACAAAATTTCATAAAAATCGGTCCAGCCGTTTCGGAGGAGTATGGTAACTAACATTGTGACACGAGAATTTTATATATAAGATTTATCATCAACAGCCTTTAATATTCCACTGCTGGACATGGGCCTCTCCTTAGAAAGGAGGTTTTGGCCTACTATACCACGCTGGCCAGACGGGTTGGTATAGGGTTTGTGTCAAGTTTTCCTTCTCTTTGCAGTGCTGTTGTCCTGCGTAGTTTGCTCCCTTAGGCGACTCTTGTAGTCTAGTATGAAATGAATAGGACTAGTGACACTCGGTATTCTTAATCCACCACACCCCCACTTTTTACCCTATGTTAGGCTAAATACGTGCGCAGAGGATTGTGAACTTAATATTTAATATAATAAATAAGTGAATATTTAAAGGTTACATGTGGAAGAATTACATAAAGCTTTTTTTTTCGCAGAAACAATTATCAGCCTCTGGCAGTGGTCATTCCATTTGGTTGTCCAGTTCAGCTAGCGAAGCGATACACAGAGCGGCTGCTGGGGTGAGTTCACACGTACATCGTTTATGTAATAAAACCTAGATTTAACAAGCTAATAATTAAATATATATATATATATCTGTGGCCATAGGTCAGAATATGATAAATACAATTTCATTACTTTACAGGAGAAGCAATTAAATTATTAAGAAATCTTGAAGCTACTATTAAAATATGAGACACTCGCAATATTGAAAATATATATTTTTTTAATTAAGGAAATGTGTTACTGATTTGTAAAAATACTTATAATTCATTGTGGAATGCGTAGTATTCACGTATTGTTTTTTTTTTTTAAAGAATGGTTGCACTTGTCACACTGTGATCAAAAGAAGTAGGTAGTTATCGTGTTATGATCATAAATGAAAGACGAATATGAGAAAAATACTTTATTTAAATTTAAAATGATAATGCAGAATATTTGGCATATAAAATTGCACTCGAAGCAAAAAGAAAAAAAAAAGAAAATAGACGTAATAAAATAGTAATTTCTATTCAGAATCGGAATTATAATCACTAATATGTGATGTGTCTACTACGTCATTGTCAGACTTTATTACATTCTTATAGAAATCATGGTACACTGGATCAATGTACTGTAATAAAGATAAAATATCCTTATGTTTTTCTTTACTTATTAATAATGGCCGATTGTACGCCTTACGAATATCCATTAAAGGCTGATTATTTCGACTGGCTCTGGCTTTTCTCTTCATGTCACATATTTTAAACTCGTCTTCCACTCGCAGTGAATATTGAACACACAGCACAGTGAACTTACTGCTGACCATTCTCACAAGCATGTACCAGTCATTTGGAATTGAAATTCTTCCATTATATTTCTTCTTGGCACGCTCGATTGAGGCATGGTCAGCATCACACTCTAAATGTGTGTGACCAGGAACTAAAAATTTGTGATCTATAGTCTTCAAACCAATTTTCTGCGTAAGTATGTAGTTATATACAACAGGTAATGTATTGTTGCGGGTTTGCCCGGGACATGTATCTGAATAAATAATAACGTGTTCTGTTTCTTCGGGCAAACTCATTATAAACATTTTTAGGCAAGATGCTATTTCGTCAGCACCACGTTGCGCGATAGCTTCATGCCACATGAAGCAAGTAGTTTTCCCTGTGTTACAATTTCTGACTGTGAAATTAAAAGTCCATAGCTTCCTTTTATAAAATGCTACACTAGTATTTAAGTAAGGTGTAGCGAGACACTGCTGTAAATCACACACAGCGACAACGATAGTATTTCCTGATAACTTGGCACGTTGTTTATCGAAAGATTTACATTCGTAATGGAAATTTGCTTTATCCTGATGAGACACATGTTCGTCATGTAGTCTCGTTTTCTCAGAGTCATTTATTGTAATTTTTATTTTTGCTACAAATGTATCACAAGTATGGCAAGTATCGTTATGTGGCTTTTTAAATTTTAAATTGAATGTCTTAAAAATATTACTATATGTAGAAAGGCTGACTATTTTTGTAGTTATGTTGTCCATGGTATGTTGGTCAAGGTATAAGTTATACATTTTTTGTAAATTCAACCCAGTCTCCAGGTATTTTTTCGTAGTGTGTCGTCTTGAATAGTGGCTTTCGTATGCAGGGAAATTAGAAATATGATTACGTACATAATCAATTGCTTCATTTGAATGTTTAATTTTTGGCTCATGTCTGCCTCTTTCATCCCGCCCAATGATACCTGTAGCTGACTTTTTCTTCTTGTCAATTATGCCATTCACAAAACCACGATTCTCACCATACACGTTAAGAAAACAGTTTTGACAAACTTTTACTAAATTACCTTCATTTTCAATAAAGTACTCTACAGCTACTTCTCTTTTCTTTTGATTTCAACCTGTTTAACTCTAATTGGCGGTGTTAATAATATATGGTTACTCAAATGTAAACGTTGCATATCTCTTGTTTCCATAGCGCGATAATCCGCAAAAACTCTTTGTAATTGTGTATTCGTAAATTTTGTTTTACATTTTAATCTGCATTCTTTTAGTACACCTACAGATTTACCCAATATTTTTTTCCCAGCTTGATTTATGTATTCTTCCCCCTTTTTAATTTTTTCTGTTCTTTCTTTACGGAGTTTTCTTTGCATCATACCGACACCACGCTTCCTTTTTCTTCTAACGTCATCCTGTGTTTGAGAAACCAATGCTGGGACCGCAATGCTTCTAATGCTTCTAGGGGTAGATGTCTTGCTAGATGACGATGATGAGACGTGTTCTACATGTGTACCAGCAGGTAACCAATTACAATCCTGCACATCGTCATCAGAACTATAATCTTCACCGAGAGAAGTACGATCAGAACTATTAGCTCGATTACCTGATGGGCCGGGTAGAGATTGCAAAACATCTTGCTGAGCTATGGCAGTACCTGACGGACCGGGCAGAGATGACTAAATATCCTGCTGAGCTACTTGACTACCCGACGGGCCGGGCAAAGATTGCAAGATATCCTTCTGAGCTAATGGAGTACGTTCTCTCATACATTGTTTCACAGCTAAATCCTAAAATGAAAAAAAACAACGTTAGGCCCGGGTGCCAGTATTTTATATAATATACTAGGCACAAACAGTCATATCAACTATTACAATATTGCTCACTAAAATGCCTACTTACTCTCGCAATGCACACTGACGCGATTTGAATAAAATAACAATCAAAATAATGATAAACATACCTCTGGATCTTCTTGTCTCATAGCTAACTCCAACAACTTCTTACAGCGAGCACTCATCATTTTAACAGTAATTATAACCTATCTTAATGTTCTTTTACCGGCGTAATAACGAAAACTAACAATAAACTACGAAATGTGCGGTACGCGAAACAATAGTGACACGACACGTTATGACATGTTTCCCGCTAACCAAGTAATTTTTGATCATAAGTTGATAAGTGTGCTTTTGTCATATTCTGATCAATAAAAAGCGCATTGTCCTTTCGGTCAGATCTAAATAAAATCACTTAACGCAATATGACCAAAACAAAAGTTGAAATATGAAAGTTATCATAATCTGATTAGTATTCAATACAACAGTAATATTTTGCATGTAGTTATCCTGATGTGACCAAATGAAAGAGCATTTTTTGGCGATTATACCTTTATTAATAAGTCGTATTGAGCAAAAATGCACTTATCATTGTCTGATCTATGATCACAGATATATATATATCTCCCTGAAAATGTATAGGTACTTAAAATTTACAAATCAGTGATTTTAACTTTTATAATTTTCATATACCCAGACTCTTACAATTGAGACGTATCTAACGACACCTCAAACATCAAAATCCAAGTCGTTTAGGGTACAGAGCGTGCCAAAGAACACTCGAAAAACTTAACCTTCTGGTACACAGTCGGGTAAAAATGATCTTACATTCCATTGTTGCAATACGCTTGTGGAATGCACTTGCAATTGAAAATATTTTTTTTTTATGTAGGAGGCAATGAGCAGACGGTTCTCAGTGTTGATGGTAACTGACTACGCTTGACATCTGTACGTACTAAGTGTCGGGTTCGATTCCCGGTCAGTGATATTTGTCGTATAACACGTCACAAAAAATGCGCTTAGTTTGGGTAAGAATATGTAATACGTCCCAGTTTTTGTTTCAGACTGAAGTCCTTGAAAAACCCCTCTTCTTAAAATCTGAAGTTTCCCCAGTGGCTCTTATGAAGCTTATCAAAAACAACGTAGAACTTAATGTAAGTATATATTAAATAAATATCGATACCCGCTCCCAAACAGTAAGGGAGTTTTACTAAGCCTAGCGGACATACGAAAATAAATCTAATTGTTAGGAATGAAAGCTTCTTTCGCTATGACCAACTTCTTTGTCAACACGATAAAATTACTCTATCAAAAGAATTACATCGGTATCTCAAAAAAGTCAATAAAATGTTAGTACAAGCGAATTTGATCCTTTTTAAAACTACATAGGGTTGTATTTCGCTACTTACTTCAGCTTAATTTATTATGTACTAGTTTTTGCCCGCGACTCCGATCGCTTGTTTGTCCGTTATCGCGGTAAAGAGTAGCCTATGTCGCTTATAATGTAGCTTTCCATTGGTTGAAGAATTTATAAAATCGGTTTAGTAGTTTAGGCGTGAAAGCGTAACAAACAAACTCACTTTTTTAATAATATAGGTATGGAAGTATGGATCTTTAACGACTACTTCTACATACAAAGAAAAATGTACTTCAATGCCATCTAACGAACACATACCGAACTACGGAGGAACTACTAATCCTGCATCGCGCAACGAAAATTCCACTGTCACACTGTGACAGTTACATAGGCTGATAGGTTCTCAATTTATTGGAGAATCTCCCCTGAGTGGTAATGAACCTAAGACCTTCATTCTTTTGTATTATTCTATATATGTCTATTATAATCCTAGTACAGATACCAGTCTTTCACATATAAATAATCTAATTATATTAATTGCTACTCCTAGTTTAAGCTAGTACCTATGTATCAGTCTGTGTGAGAGAATAAAAATAAAGAAATTATTATTATTCTCTTTATTAAATTATATATACATATTGATTACATTTTTAAATATATTACAAAAGAAAAAAATAAACATTTAAAAATATAAAAAATAGTAGACCACCGACATCGGTTACAGGGACCAAGACACCGGTGGTTAGAACTCCAAAGATAGGAACCTCCTCACTATACGAGCCGTGTCTAGGAGGACTGCCTTCTGCATCAGACCCTTGATCCAGCCGTCCAACGTGAATTATTGTTAATGGTTTTTACGGTTCGCAATAATAATGTACCTAATATAGTCACTTCCAGCTCCTATGTAAAACTTGTTGGACAATGAGACCTTTCTGCACGCAGGGCTTCCGCCGGTGTCACGTCAGTGATGGGATAGCCGTGAGCAGGTTCTTCAGATGGCTCCACAACAAGATCGACTCCGGTGCTACAGTTACAGAGATACAGGCCTCCGACAAACTGCTGGAATTTCGCAAGTGAGTATACCGCCCCCAAGAGTTAGAATTGAGCCATCCGTTTTGCAGATATCATATCTTCAGTGACTGACATACCTACACGTCACCGTCATAACTCCCTTTTTTATCACGTTGCTTAGAAAATAACTTTGTTAAGTGTTTTTGGCTTGCCGCGTCTCGGCAGACGTAGTGTAGCACACCCACAGGCCAGGTGGAGTGACGATTTGCGCAAGATGGCTGGCAGGAGTTGGATGCGAGAAGCCCAAAATCGATCTAAGTGGCGTGCAATGGGAGAGGCCTATGTACAGCAGTGCACTGCGATATGCTGATGATGAAGTGTTTTGCTTTTAATACCCTTGTATTAGCTAGTTATGTATGTATGTAACAAAATCTTCAAACGTGATTTTGGCCTACTTTAAAACGTCGAATTAAATTGAAACTTGAAACAGGATCTTCAGGATTAACGGCTCTAAATACGCCTCGATCTGAACGAATCTGGATGAAACTTAGCGCAAAGATAGATTTACAGTCTGGAATAGCACAGGCACTATGCTTCTTCTTATCCTGTCAAAAGTCATTCACAGAGAGAGAACTTCTTTTCCAGAGAAAACCCTGACTTTATGGGTCCATCTTTTGAGACGATCTCCAGCGCTGGACCGCACGGTGCCATCATACATTACAGCGCCTCAAGAAACGGCATCCAGAAGGCGATTGAGAAGAAGGAAATTTATCTACTGGACTCCGGTGGACAGTATAAGTAAGTAAAATGGTATATAAAAGGGTAATAAAATGGTATTATTCCCAGTAGTTCCCTCTAACACTGTCCTCCATGTAAACAACTGGGAATTTTCACTCCAGTTGTCACCCGGGTGACAAATTTTCCCAACTGTTAATTCCGATTTGTGCCATAGGGTAACTGTAACTTTTTTACCCAATTGTCACACTAAAAGCTTGTAGAACTGGTTAAACTACTACAACGAGAGCAGTTCGGTTCGGGTCGACAACTGGGAAAATTCCCAGTTGTCGACCCGAACCGAACTGCTGCGGGTGACAGTGCTACAGGGGACTGCTGGGAATATAGCATAAAACGTTCTCTTGTTGATGATGATCTATACATTGTTTTCCAGAACGGGTACAACAGATATAACTCGCACCCGCCACATGGGCAGGTCTCCCACACCTGAACAAAGGTCGGCGTTCACCAGAGTACTGAAGGGTCAGATTATGATGGGCAGTGCGCTGTTCCCGCAAGGGGTCAAGGTGAGGATAGTCACTTAAAACGGTAAGATGGCAAACAAGGATGTTCAGGCCATCTGATAGCAGGCGACCATATGTTGACTATATTGGACAATCTTGTATGACCATTCCTAAAACTGAATCTGCTAAACACAGCTCGATTAGACGGCTGTGTGAGACGTGTGAAGAATATTATAATAGTATATTATTATATTAACGAATGGTGTCCGTGTGGTGACGGATTAAGACTACAGAGTGTCACTACCCATATTCACCCCGTGGGTGTGTCATAAGAGCCACCAGCACTGCAAAGAGAATAAAAACTTGACACAAATTCTATACCAACCCGTGTGGCCAGCGTGGTCTAGTAGACCAAAACCTTTCTAAGGAGACGCCTACGTCCAGCTGTGAACTATTAAAGGCTGTTGATGATAGTAACTAATGTACGACCACAGGTGCAACTCGGTCGACGCGCAGCAACCCACTGATTTGGTCTTTGGACTTGTAGTTTCGTACCTGCAGTGAGAAGTGGGCACGGCCTGGTTTAAAGCAGAATCGACTTAATTATATTTTATTACAAGCCTTTTTACAAGCTTTTATTTAAATTGGACTGCACGGATGGCGTAGTGGTTTAAGTGGTCGCCGTTTACTACTGCGCTGTGTGTTGTGGGTTCGATACCCACATTGGACGACACTTGTGTATTGTTGTTCTGAGTCTGGGTGTTCTTTGTGTCCGTTTCATGTATGTGTGTAAAGTCCCCCGCGACACAGGTTATATTCCCGATGTGGGAGTTGTTTTAAAAAAAAAAAGAAATTGCCATGTATTTATGTATGTATGGAATTATGTTTGTTCGAGTGGAATCTTACAACTCAATTTTGAAGCAGATATCTTCAACCGATTAAACTGAAATTTTGTGTACACGTTCACATGATACGTACACTACGTACACGTACACGTGATATCTTCAACCGATTAAACTGAAAGTTTGGATGGCAATGCATGGTTAGGTGTAGCGAGATTTACGTGTAATACAATAAAATACGTCCGTATGGTGACGGATTAAGAATACAGAGTGTCACCACCCCTATTCGTCCCGTGGGTGTCGTAAGAGCCGACTAAGGGAAAAAACTACGCAGAACAACAGCACTGCAAAGAGAAGGAAAACTTGACACAAACCCTATACCAACCCGTCTGGCCAGCGTGGTATAGTAGGCCAAAATCTCCTTTCTAAGGATAGGCTTATGTCCAGCAGTGGACTATTAAAGGCTGTTGATGTGATTTTGACAGGAAAAAATAACTTGAATCTGATTAATTTTATTTTGTTTTAAATTTAGAAACAGTAAATACGAGTAATTAAATCTCCCGACAAGGTTTTATATCATGTAAATTGTGTAATGACTATACAAGTCGATAGTAAAGGTTATTAAGGGTTTTTTTTCGTAAATTTAAATAAAAGCTTGTTTTTAAAAAGGCTTTTTACTTATAATTTGTGTCTATTATTTTTACAACAGCCATTATTTTCAATTCCTAGGGCAACGTACTGGACAGTTTAGCTCGACATTCTCTGTGGGAAGTGGGCTTGGACTATGCCCACGGCACTGGCCATGGCGTGGGACATTTCCTCAATGTGCACGAAGGCCCATCAGGTGTGTCATGGAGGCCGTATCCTCACGACCCTGGGCTAAAACCTGGACAGATACTTAGTAATGGTAAGTTTGTCTGTATTCAATATCTCAACACCCTTTAAATAGTATCATTATCATCTTTCTGCCATTCTTAAAATCCCCTTTCTGCCCGATACGTAGAATTGCAAAAAATTGTGGCTGGTTTTACTTTTATGGCCCACCTTCGGATAGGACGAGGTAGCTGTCGTAAGGAATACTGAAAGAATATTGTCTAGGGATGGAATAAAATTATATTCATACTAATATTATAAATGCCAAAGCGTGTCTGTCTGTCTGTCTATTACCTCTTCACGCTTAAACCGCTGAACCGATTTAGATGAAATTACGTATGGAGTAGCTTTGATTGTTGAAAAAGAACCTATGCTGTTTACCTCGATAATCGTATATGTATACGCTGGCGAAGCCACTCGAAAATAACGAACTGCCATACAACCGTTTATCCCTTATTTTAATCGCTTTAAAAATCCATCCTTAATGGGTACTTACAATATTAAAATCATCAGCTGCCAACATTTCCAGTTTGCAGCTCCAGCGGGTTTAGGGTCAGCGTCTAGATTCATTCAGGGCAAGTAATTTTATAATTCAGTGATTATTGGTTAATTCATTGACTCTCATTCGTTCTTCGGCACTAAGTAAAAATATTGTTTCTAGAAATTGTAATAGAAATAAAAAAAAAACAGTGGCACCCTAACTCAACTCTCGTGTAAACGGAACGGGTGTTTGTTGTTCAAAAATGCCCAACGCGCCTATAGAAGTTTTCACTTCAATAAATGGTACTTGTTTCAGAGCCTGGCTACTACAAAGTGGGAGAGTACGGCATCCGCATCGAGGACCTTGTAGAGACGGTGAAGATTAACAAGACGTCACACCATCCTAGGGTGAGTGTACCGCCACATTGAAATACTTCAATTGAATTCAATTCAATATAAATCATGCACTAAAGTTACATTAATTCATGCTCATAGTTTGGAGTTAGGGGATGCAGGTTCGCTTCTCGGTTAGAGTAAATAATTGTATAATAATAATAATCATATTCTACCACATTCACACATCACCATCTAGTCCCAAACTAAGCAGAGCTTGTACTATGGGTACTAGACAACTGATATAAATACATATATATCTACTTTTTTTTTGTAAATACATACTTATTATACATAGAAACACCCAGACCAAATCAAACATTAAATGTTCATGCACCCAAATGTTTGACTTGAGCGGGAATCGAACCCGCGACCTTTGGAATAGCAGTCCGTTCACAAACCACTACGCCATCCGGTCGTCTAATGTATATGCATGAATATATTCATTTGCAGTAGTTTAGGTATTTGTGTCCTTCTTATTCTCTCTTCCTCCCCCTCTAACGCCTTCCCCTCTCACTAACTCCCTCCCTCACTCCCCCTCACGCTTTCCTCTTCTACCCCCTCTCCTCTTCTTCATATCCCACTTATCTTTCTTATACGAGTTTCTTTACAATACAGAAAAATTCCGCCGGGGAATCCCTGCCCCGACATCTTCCACTTTTTTAACACTACGACTTTTCTTGTATGTTTTCAGGCAGCTGGTCTCCTGGGTGATTACGATGGGCGTGGAGTGCTTGGCTTCAACACCCTGACCTTGGTGCCTCATCAGAAGGAATGTATCGATGTCAGTATGCTCACTGATTTTGAGGTTAGTATTTAATTCCATGGTACAAGATACTAAATGATTCTCGGACACGATTTAAATAAATAGCGACCCTCTTCACCTCGCAATAGAGTGCATTATAGCTTGACCTATTTAATAACATATAATTTGCTTATCAGTAATCGTGTGATCCCATACTAGACAGAGTCTGTGCGCGGGGGGGGCAGTAGAGGGGTCACGTGATGGTAAGTGACCACCGCCGCCCATGGACACGTACAACTCAAGTGACATAAGAGCTTTGTCTCCTTTTTGACCTCTCCCCCAAAGTGGGGAAAGGGTCTGCGCCCCGGTAAGCTCAATCACTCGGTCAGAAAACCAAGAACTAATCTGCTCAACACCAGTTTTCTGGGGTGTTACACCAGTCGAGCAGTCTTAATACAAACACATCTTTATTTCAGCTGGCGTACATAAACGCTTACCACAAGCGTGTGCTGGAGACGCTGGGTGCTGTTCTGTCGGAGCAAGGGCTTCTTGACGACTACAATTGGTTGCAGCAGGAGTGTGCTCCAATAAACCGAGTACCAGGTACTTTGTACCATATAATTAGACTTTGCAATCCCTTATCAGTCTCTGCTTCGCTCCTAAAGTGTCTAGCGTGATGTTACATTCCTCAAGACTTTCAATTTTTAATTGACTGGCCTGTTGGTCCAGTGGTTAGAGATCCTGACTGCTAAGCTCAGGCTCAGGCTCAGCTCAGGACGAGTTCGATTCCCATGCAGGACTAATAATCGTGTGATGAGCACGATCATTTGTTCTGTGTGTGAGGAAAATTGGACTATATTCAAAAACGTACTCCCATCCTAAGATACTCCAATTTGTCCCATCTAGTCACTGAAATACCCTATAACAATAAATTTACCCCCTAGTAAGTTTACCCCCCACTAAAATTATACTTGACTAAGTTTAGGCGGCCAAAATGCCTCTGTTTACCCCTTCAGACATATAGGCGTGAGTGTATAATCCAGATGTCTAACTTTATTTTCACTATCATCATCAACAGCCTTTTATAGTCCACTGCTGGACATAGGCCTCTCCTTAGAAAGGAGGTTTTGGCCTACTATACCACGCTGGCCAGACGGGTTGGTATAGGGTTTGAATCAAGTATTCCTTCTCTTTGCAGTGCTGTTGTCCTGCGTAGTTTGTTCCCTTAGTCGCCTCTTACGAAACCCACGGGATGAATAGGGGTGGTGACACTCTGTATTCTTAATCCGTCACCACGCGGAATAACACTGACGCCGTGCTACTTTTTGGGAGAGTTAGACAACAAACGACACGATTTGTATAGTGGTATCCGAGGGGATTTGCGCGTAGAAAACAAAAAAAAGGTATAGGCGCAGATGACCACTTACCAATCGGTGGATCATGTGCTCATTGGCCAACTTCGTGGTATTCTTAATCCGTCACCACACAGATAAATACTGATTTCTAACTTTATTTTAATGTGATTATGTTATTGTTAAAGGTACCGCCGCGGTTTACAAACAGCCTGATGCAATGATATGAAGAAAGTATATTTTGTACCAATTTTGTATGAAGTACAATAAATTCTAATATAATAAAAATATTAAAAAATGTTTTTTTTTTTTGTAATTTCCACGACTGTCCCTAATAACTGTGTCATTTTTTAACTGTAACGTCCGTTCCTCTCGGTTTCCTACAATCTTTGTGAGTGATTTCGTATAAAGGGACGGAAGTGTGTAACAGGAAACGTGTGCAATTTCATTTGACCAATGAGCGCACGGTGCTAGAGTTCAACGTCATATGGTTGGTGAGATAAGGAAACGGATAAGGCGAGGTATCTAGAGGCTCAGATCAAATAAAAAAATTAAGATGGTGCTCAGTGAACAAAGAAGTGAGGCTAATTAAAACTACGCTTTGGCGTATACATACACAATTACACGCACGCACGTACAATGAAACTAACGTCAATCAAACCGTCAACAATATTTACAAGTAAAAATGCCGAATTGTGTTGTGAAAGGGTGTAAAAATCGAACTACAAGAGATACATAGTAGGATGGAATCGCATTTCACACATAAGCGTAGACACTAATATTTTTAATTATGATGGCCCATGTAAACATGTTTATAAAACCGGGCTTACTTAGTTTTTGACTTTTTTATTTGATCTGATAACCTAACCTACTATTTTGGTCACCGGTCCGAGGTGAAATGAGGAAACCAAAGTATCTACTTTATTCCCCCAGATGAAAATAGTGGAATAAACCGTTTCTAATAGTGATTCGTTTTCTTGTGGGGTCGCAGTTCTAACCTAACTTATCCTACTTTTCTGATAACAGCTCGTTTCTGAAGGTGTCGCCTTAAACCATAAAAAATAGGTATTGGCTTACTATACCACGCTGACCAGACAGAGTTGTAAAAATAGTTATTTAGTTATATGTGTAAGTATTACGTTTGCACGCACTAGGTCTCGAACCTATAACAGTCAGCGTAGTAGTAAGCGGCGAAGTGACCGCTTAAACCACTACGCCATCTGTGCAGTCAGTGCAATATAACACACTGTTGATGTATATTTTCGAATTATTTCTAGTAAGTACTAGTTAAGTTAATTTGGTTTATTTCCAGTGAAATAATTTATATGTTGTAAAAATTATTTAATTGATGAATAAAAATTGATATAGTTCTTTTTGTTGTATGTCCCGTATATAGGCATAGGATAAAATCACAATCACATGTGATTTACCATATGACTTTAAAATCATTTCATCGCAACTGTGACTGATCTACAACATCACTGCTCATAATTATTATTATGACGCCAGACACGCTACATCTAAATAAAAAAAAAGGTCGGTTTGATTGATTTGATGGAGTTAATCGTTGTCTATGACCAAACCTAAGTAGTCTTATGTGAAATCACAATGACCAAAACTAATCATGTCATCAAGTGAGTATGATTATAAAGTAGCAATAATTTCCATATCTACCCGTATGCGTAAGCAGCAAATAAAGGATGGTAAACGGGACTAAAGACTACGGGGCTACTAGCCTGGAAAGGGGGAGTCGTGTAACCCTGTCCTGTCTCCCTTTGTCCTGCCCTATCCTCTTATTTCACCTTTTTCATGGTATTGAGAGCAAACAAATAGAAGGGTCATCTGCTTGTAAATAACAACCCATGGACATCTACAACTCAAGAGTCACAGGTGCGTTGTAGCCCTTTGAGTCTCGCCCCCTCCGAATTAAAGTGGAGAGGTGGGGGGACGGCTCCCGTCACCTCACTCACTCAATGACACAAATGAAAAAAAGCTTAACACCAGTTTTCTGTGAGGCCGACGTTCATTTGCGCCGACGCATGCTCTCGCACAGTTAACCTGGATCCGTCAAACGGAAAATCAATTTCTTTAAACGCAAACTCAACTTTGCTATCGCTCCACCGGTTATAAAGAAATGAATGTTATCTTATCGTTATCCCAAGTATCGTAACGAGGTTATTTAGATGATAATATTTAGTTTATTGTTATTGCAATGCGTTCAAATGTATCAGTACCTACAACACTAGTAAATAATTTAATGCAATTGAGATTGTGGCAAGAAATTTGCTGTATTTCGGGTTTTTTTGTTTTTTAAGGGGACATTATAAATAGATGTCACTTGATGGTCAGTGCCTACCACCGCTCATGGACTGACCTGTAATTCAAGAGACATACATAGATAGATTTATAAAAATAACTAGCTGACCCGGCAAACGTTGTATTGCAAAACAAAGAAAAATAGGGATGGGTCACCCTTACCATTTAGTAGTATGAAAAATAGATGTTGGCCTATTCTCAGACCTACCCGATGTGTACACAAAATTTCATGAGAATCGGTCAAGCCGTTTCGGAGGAGTACGGGAACGAACATTGTGACACGAGAATTTTATATAGAATCTTTCGACTGCACGGATTTTGGACCGACAGACGGACTGGTTTAAGCGGTCACCTCGCCACTTCCCTCTGCGCTAAGTGTTGTGGGTTCGAACCCATATGGGACAACACTTTGTGATCCACAACTGTTGTTCTGAGTCTGGGTATTTTTTGTGTCCGTTTAATGTATGTTTGTAAAGTCCCCCGCGACACAGGATTATATTCCTAGTGCGGGTGTTGTCTTTAAAAAAAATATCCAGAGATGAAAAAAAATCTTTTTAACGTGAAAGAAGCCGAAAAAAGCTAGCATATTTTATAAAACACTTAACTGTACTCGACCACTTTTCGCTGTGACACATCGTGGTTGCATCGATGAGAAATGAACAAAAGGAATGCAAAGAATACATAAAAACAATCTTTGAAGCGGTTTGTGGATCGTCAAAATTTAAGCTCAAGCGGTGTAGAACTTTTCGAGTTTTTATAGCGTACACAATCCAACTTAACGTTTTTGTAGACTAGATTCTCACTAGTTAGCTCACGCCGCATTGTAACAGAGAGAGGAAAGCAAATTATTTTACTACTAAGATCAATTTTGAGGTATTTTACACAATTTGCCGATGGAAACTCAAGTATTTAATGAACCTTGTAGGTTTTTGTATTGTGTACTTCCACTGCATAATCGAAATTCAAACAAAAGTTTCGAATGAATTTGTCAAGACACCCTTTTTGAAACCTCCAGTCCAAACGGTTTAGCAATGTCTTCATCTATGAGTTCAGTAGGCTTCTTGGACGAAAACAAATCTACCGTCAAACCGTTCAAAGTATTGTAAGTACCTATTTATAGTTTTTTACACACAGACATAACAAGGGACTATTTATTTATCTTTAAACACAGAATTTCTTGTCACGCAAAGGCTTTTGATACGATTAATATCTAAATCCATAATCAAATAATGCTACTAATAAAATAATACAAGATATCTTAGAACAATAACATTTAGTCAATTATTAACGATGCCGACGTATACTTGGATCTTTTTAATATGTTTCATGTAAGTTCAAAACCATATATTTATTTAATTACTTTTGGAGAAGGCTTACAGACTAATAAATTTATGGTTACACAAATGTGTGTCCATGTTGCTAACAACAAGCCACCATAGATAGGTAATATTAAATGACACTGGTCTAAATGAAAGGTCATTAGCTGGTTTATATAATATGTGTAAATATATATGCATAAGCAGCCGCAAACATGAACTGGAGAATAAGCAAAACAAAAATTACTTGCTAAAACTAAAAACTTAAATTTTGCATTGCTCGAGATCTTAAATTGACCTAACAGTCCTTAGCCAGCTTATTATTTATTCAATTAACCCATTTGAAATACGACAAGGCCTTCTTTAATCTTTAGAAGCACGTACGAGATGCGAATGCTGCCTACTTCTAGCCGTGTACAAATGTAGTGTACCCCAAGGAAGTGTTCTAGGTCCAATAATGGGTGATCCATTGTATTTGGTTATAAGACATCCTATAGGTTAAATTTAATCATAAGAACACTGCAAAAGGAGTCTGCAGTATTGCGATTTTACGTTTAAACACTTATAGTAGGCCAAAACCTCCTTTCTAAGGAGAGGCCTATGTCCAGCAGTGGACTATTAAAGGCTGTTGATGATGATGACGTTTGTGGAGGCACATTAAACATGACAAATGAAAAAGGTTAATTAGGGATTGGTAAGAGAACTAATCGGTTTTGGTAAGAAAGTAAGAGAGAGGAATAGAAGAGGAAGCTTAGATAAACGATACTGAAATCTATTACCCGTACCCGTATGGCTGTCCTGTAATTTGAGAGACCGATAGAAATAGAGGACATATAAGGCCAGGTACAAGACCCTCATAAAGTGTTTGATACAATTAACAAATTAACGTTTTCAAAAGTTGCAGGTGTTTAGTATTTTGATCTGCATTTTAAGAAGCTTTTTAAAATTCCATGCCATTGCCATTTTTTATGAATTCAGTAAAACATCTTCAATATTTTGCTGTCATAATTCAACTTAAGACTAAAGCAGATAGTCGGCATTCCTAGACAGACAATTTTGTGAATAATATAGAACTATTCCTTTTACAGATTAGGGACAAATATGGCTATGGGCCATATTCCTATAAACTCTTACTACAAATCCGCTGAACCAGACGGACCTACCCTCTGTGAGTAGTTTTCATATCCTAGTCTTTTTTACCCAGTGACGTATTTACTCTAGAACCAAAAGGTCACATGCCCCGGGCGGCAGGTTGCTAGGGCCTAGCCGCGGTTCATAATTGTTATAATGCCATAATTTTGGGCAACTACCTAAATTAAAATAATTTGGTTTTTAAAACTCTACAAGCTGTTGTCATAGACTTAGGGGTAGCTTGAATTTTCGTAAAAAATTATAAGTTTTTCATTTTAATAACAAATATAGAAGCAAAACATGTCGTTGCTACTCACTTTTACCCATTCAATTTACACCGCTTGTTAGTGTCGAGACTGCTGAACGAGTCAGGCATCACGACATTTCAATTACTCCACTATTATTTGTCAGTACAGTCATGTATTTAACCTCCACGGGAGAGGAAAGAAGCAATAACAATATGTGTTTAAAGTAGCAATAACGTTAAAACCTCTACGCTTAAAGAAGACTACTTCTAACGGTACGTCTTCTGCGAGAAATAAGAGTAGGTACTAGGTTTCTTCTTCTTTTAGCCTCCAATTTGCAGTAAAATCATCTATTTTTTATATAGAAAACTTTCCTGCAAAGAAGCTGCTGGATTAAGTTTAACAAAAATGGGATAAGTAGTTGTATAATATTTAAATAACTTTTTAAAATATTGCAGCAAATTATGGATTATCAAGCAAGCTGACGAGACAGACTAGTCAGCAACGTTTAAGTGCAATGCGTGCCATAATGGCGCAGGCACAAGTCGACGCTTATATTGTACCGACGGGTGACGCGCACAATGTGAGTACTAGAAAATTCTTCTCATTTATAGAACCTTTGAAATACCAAAATACGGAAAATAAAAGAAAATCTCAAAGACAAGAAGAAGGATCCAACTAGTAAAGGAGATCATGACTTTCGAACCGTGAGCCAACTGTTGATATTGTATATTATGTACTATTCAGCGTGAGAACTTTCATTGCGCGTTCTAGGATTTGTAGTTTGGTGTCTTCGTTAGATTCTATTAAAGTATGTGTATCGTCATGTGTGAAAGGCGCTTCACCTCATTATTAGTGCAGTGCAGTAAGTGTGAAAAAATAGTACACCTGAGCACAAAATGCACGGGCTTAACGAACAAACAGATAGCAGCCCTAAAAGCTGCAACAAGTTTGGAGTGGACATGCCCCGACTGCCAACAAGAAACACCCCGGCGGACGTCCTCAATAATAGTTCCAGAAGAGGAGGAGGAAGACGAAGCCGTCCAAATCAATGCTAAGAAGTTGCTTAGCAATATAACCAAAGAAGTGGAAAGGGCAATCAAGAGAGAAATGGTCCAGTTGAATGACTCATTGCAATTTCACAGTGCCAAGCTCGATGAAGTAATGGAGTGTATGGATGCTTTTAAGAAAACAGTCAAAGCCCTTGAACGTAAGAACATAGAACTGACCAATAAGAACAACCACTTAGAAATTCGAGTCGGTGCCTTGGAACAGCGTCTACAAGACTTAGAGCAAGAAAAACTCTCAAAATATGTAGAAATTGCAAATGTTCCTAACCAAAGCAATGAAGAGATTCAAGCCGTTGTGGAAAATATCGCTCGAAAATTGAACCAACCAAAAGAGGTGATTAAAAGTACAAGCCGAGGGTATACAAAAAAGGATCAACCCGTTAATATACTTGTGGAACTAGAGAATGAACAGGTGCAAAAAACCTGGATCGCTGCTTCTAAATCGTTTAAAATGACTGTAGGTGACATCCATCCCACAGAAAATAATAATAAAAATACAGTATATATTAGAGAAGCCATGACTAAATTCAACAAACAACTATTCTGGAATGCAAAACAGGAGCTTAAAATCAACCAGAGCTTCAAATATGTATGGTTCAAAAGAGGAGTCGTTAGGGCCCGAAAGGAAGATAGTGATAAACCTATTATTGTAAAGTCGTTAGAACAATTACGCTCCCTATCGTCAAACCTGTAAGTTTTCATTGAATTGTTTGCAATTGTTACACAATACACTTTCATTTCTTATGGACAACTGCTTTAATGAGATTACTGAGATCACAGATTGTGTGAATGTAAACGACTTTCTTAACTATTTACCTAATAACACCAACAGTATCAATCTATTATGCATTCATATTAACATTCGATCCCTAATTAAAAACTTCTCAGCTCTCGAACAATGTATACAGGAGTCCAAGATACTCATTGATGTCATAATTATAACTGAAGCTAATGTATCTGAAAGCATTAGCAGTCTCTTTCAAATCGAAGGCTACCGTATGTACGCGGCCCTACGAAACGAACGTCGGGGTGGTGGTATTATCTTATATATAAATAACAAACATAAGTGTAGCATCAAAAGTATAAAAACTATTCACTTCGAATGTTTATTATGTACTATTACCACCCACTCCAACTATTCCGCGGGTTTGTGTGCAATATACCGTCCCCCGAGAACTAGCAAAAACCTCTTCATCAATGAACTACACACTACACTTAATCACTTTCCTAGGTTGAGCGACTTGTATGTGATAGGAGACACTAACATAGACATAAAATCGCATAATCCTGTAATACATAAATACAAAAACATGTTAAGTGGCGTCGGGCTTCTGTGCGGGATCACTGAATACACTAGAATCGAAATAAGTAACGGATTACTAAGTAAATCATGTATTGACCACATTTTTGCTAGATCCCGCGCACAAGACCTGTATACCGCAGCGCTTGGGACGACACTGGCTGATCATCGTGCCGTTGTTCTTGCCTGCGCTGGCTCACAGATACAGGATGCCCCAAAATATAAAACTTGCATAAATAACAAAAAGTTATTTGACTTATTGGAAAAAGTATCTTGGGATGACGCACATAATATAAACTGTCCTAATTTATTGTACGATTATATAAACACGCGATTCACTGAGTGCTACGAACAGTCAAATTATAAAATCCCATTAAAAAAATCACCTTCTCGCTGTAATCATGACTGGATTAATAAACGAATAATAAAGGCTTGCGAATACAGAGATAAATTATATAAATCATGGATTAAACAACCTTATGATATGAACCTTAAACTAAACTATAATAAAGCAAGAAATTATGCAAATTATTTAATGCGAAAGGCCAAAAACAACAAAATCAAATCTGACATTATTAACAACAAGAACAACACGAAATACCTCTGGAAAATACTGAACCGATTGACAGGACGAATCAAACAATCTATCGATGGTGTTGTTATCAATGCTTTCAAAAACGTTCGTAACACCTGTAAGCATATTGCTAATAATTTTGCGCGAACGTTCGCCAACAACGTTAAAGACGTAATTCCAAATTGCTCGTTACCTCTGCTAAACAAGTCACTCTACAGTAGTACCGCTAATGTAACAATGCGCTTTAAACCAGCTAAGTCTCATTCAATTAATAAAATATTAATGTCTCTAAATAACAATAAGGCACCGGGAGTAGATGGTATCAGGACTATTGACATTAAGAAAATATCCAAGAGCATAATTTCGGTATTGTGTAACTTAATAAACCTTTCTATAGAAACTGGTAAATATCCTTCCACGTTGAAAACAGGCATTATAAGGCCCATACATAAAAAAGGCAGTCAAACTGACTATGATAATTACAGACCAATAACTATACTACCAACCATAGATAAAATAGTTGAAAAATACATTTGCAAACAAGTCTATGACTTCTATGAAATTAATAATATACTGTCATCAAAACAATATGGCTTTCAGCCTCATAAAAATACAGCACAACTACTGTCAGCTTTCACAGATAGTATATACAACCACCTAGACAAAAAACATCACGTATTGGTCGTATTTATAGACTACAGCAAAGCATTTGACACGCTCAAGCATGACAGGTTAATAGAATGTCTCTCTGAGAGTGGTATTAGAGGCAACCTGCTAGAGTGGTGTAGGGACTACTTTTGTGATAGGAAGCTTATGGTCAAAGTTGGTGACGCGCTTAGTGAAAAAATCACAGTGAAGGAAGGTACAGCTCAAGGCTCTGTTCTTGGACCCTTACATTACCTCACCTACGTAAATAATCTGGAAAGCCTGATAAAAAACTGCGAAATGTACCAGTTTGCAGACGACACTTGCCTAATCTCTGCGGGAACTAATATCATCGAAGCTCAAAATTGGCTACAAAGCGACTTCAACCTCCTTTTAAAATGGTCGCATGATGCTGGACTTGTATTCAATATTAAAAAGACCAAAGTGATGTATATTAGTTCCAGCCAAAACAGAAGTATTTGGGCACCTAAACTTATAGCACACTGTCATGATTGTCTACATAAGACTAATTACATTAATTTGACTATTCCTTGTAATTGTGACACCGTAGAAAACGTTGAGAAACAAACCTATCTCGGACTAATTATCGACAACCGCCTAAATTGGAAGCAACACATAAATCAAGTCTGCAATAAACTAAGAACTATTCTCGCCAAATTCTCATTAATCAAGCATAACATACCATACAAAACACTCCTCCTACTTTATAAATCTTTGGCAGACTCAATAATCTCGTATGGCCTTTCGAGCTACGGCAGGACTTACAAGAGCCACCTTGACCAAATATATGTACTTCAACTTAAAATTTTAAAAGAGATTGTACCACAAAACATAAAAAATAAATTTAAGCACGATTACGAACAACTATTTGATTTCTGCAAAATTATTCCTATACATCAGAAGGTAAAACTAACGTTACTAACCGAGGAGTACTTTAACGTAGATCTTCAAAAATACAAAGCCCGTGATACACATGGTATGAAGACCCGTAGCGTCAATAATGCAAAATTATTACTACCACGATTTACAAATCTGTACGGGAAAAGAACTCTAAAATGCATGGTACCACTCTTAGTAAATGAGCTTCCGAAATCAATAAAGACTTCATTAACAAAAGTAAACATAAAAATAAAATTGAAACAACACTTTTTACAAAATTAAATCGACCATTTGTCATACCCTGGAACAACCTGTATAGTGTAGTAAAATATTACAAATGTATCCACGATATAATGTTGTTGAATTCATCACTGATGCGCGGTCGATGTGACCATTGCGCACTGCGTACACATTTTTGTATACTACCCTCACTTAATTATTGTGATGCTTTATGTATTGGTGCTTTTATTCTAAGTGTATTTGCATTTTGTGATATTTTGTAACAATGTAAGTAACATATGACGAAATTGATGTACGGTAAAACTCGAAGGAGTTTATGTTGCATCTCTATGTACATGATTTGTATTTGTATCAGCTATTCAAATAAATAAATAAATAAATAAATTACCCTATTATTTTAGCGTTCATCAATATAAATAAATAATAATAATATTCTACCACATTCACACAACGCCATCTAGTCCCAAACTATGGGTACTAGACAATTGATATAAATACATATACAGTTTTTTTTTTGTAAATACATAGATATTATACATGGAAACACCAGACCAAATCAAACATTAAATGTTCATACACACAAATGGGATAGCAGTCCTTTACACAAACCAATACGCCATCCGGTCGTCAAATGTTCTAATTGTCTGCGTGTATTGTACAAAATTATCCCAATTCCATACGAAAGTATCCGTGTAGTGACGGATTAGGAATACGAAGTGTCACTACCCCTGTTCATGTCAAGAGTCGACTAAGAGAGCAAACTACGCAGGACAATATCACCGCAAAAGTTGACACAAACCCTATACCAACCCGTCTCGCCAGCGGGCCTATGTCAAGCAGTGGAATATTAGGAACCGTTGATGATGATGATGATAATCTGAAACCATTACATTCAATCACAGCACTTTCATATTTTTAATTTGCCGAAGGTTTCATCTTCTTCGTGCCGCGGTACAAAATAATAATAATATTCTACCACAATCACACAACGCCATCTAGTCCCAAACTAAGCAAAGCTTGTACTATGGGTACTAGACAACTGATATAAATACATATATACTTTTTTTTTTGTAAATACATACATATTATACATAGAAACACCCAGACCAAATCAAACATTAAATGTTCATGCACACAAATGTTTGACTTCAGCGGGAATCGAACCCGCGACCTTTGGAATAGCAGTCCGTTACACAAACCACTACGCCATTCGGTCGTAAAAAATATAACAAATCAAAATATAACATAATATTTATGTTACCGAGTAGAAATTAGTTCCTACAATAATATTTCAGTCGGCGTACATAGCTCCGGCGGATGCGCGAAGGGAATGGCTTTCAGGACTCCGCGGCTCCTCAGGCACTGCACTAGTCACTTCGTCCAACGCGCTAGTGTGGACTGATGCCAGATACTGGACCCAGTTCGAAGTAGAAGTTGATGGAAGTTTGTGGACGCTGATGAGACAAGGTACAGTTCAATTATGGACTTTCTGTTCCCGGTAGGTGTAAGTTGCAAATGTTCATCAACAGCCTATAATAGTCCACTGCTGGACATAGGCCTCTCCTTAGAAATGAGGTTTTGGCCTACTATACCACGCTGGCCAGACGGGTTGGTTGCAAATTTAGTAAAAGTAAAAAGTGTTTGGTTGTATAAAAGTCTTATCACAACGGAAAAACAAACGAACATGCATTTTTTGAAGTGAAAACTTCTTTAGGCGCTTTGGACATTTTTGAACAACAAACAAAAGACTATATTTTTTGAGATGGGAGAAAACCATTGAACTCGCGACACTGTTACCGTTACAACACCTCTGTATACATGTATTGGTAAAGTATTTACATGTATTGGCCCTGTTTACACGAGATTTGAGTTTGGTTTAAAATACATTGATAATATAAACATATATTGTGTGTATACGTACAACATAGATATATATTAATTACGGTGCTGTAATAATCTTTTTTTTTTATTTTCAAGTTTTCACTTCTGTCGGCACTCTCGCAGTGCCACTGTTTTTTTTAATATGTAAATTTTTGGACTGAAACCCTCGTAGCCGCTACCAGATTTTTTCTCATATTCCATAACATATTCGTTTATAAAATACATATAATTTTAACTAAATATTGCCTGCAGTTTCGCTCGTGTGATTATTTATGATTTTGAACCAAGTTCCATACAACCGTTCATCCCTTATTCTACTCCCTTAGGGTTAAAATTTGTAAAAACCCTTTCTTAGTGGGTACTTATAACATAAAAGCATCAGCTGCCTAAATTTCCAGTTTATGCTCTGCTCTGCTTTCCAGTTTATGCCCCGCCGGTTTAGGCTCTGCTCTGATGAATCCGTCAGTTAGAGAAAGTAATCTTTATACATCTATAGATTGTTCTTATCTATCAATAATCATATCATTTTATTTAAACACTATTATATGACTTCTAGATGCCCTCAGATCTGAAGGTAATGGCAGCCTCAGTCCTTCCACTATGCATCCAACCGTCTATAGTTCTCTTTTGGGACCTAAAACAACCTTAGTATAGTGTTTGAACTACTATTAAATTATGTTACAGGAACAGATGTGTCCATCGGTAATTGGTTGATCCAAAATATGCCAGCGGGGTCCGTGGTGGCGGTAGACCCCACCACTTACACGAGGTCTGCGTGGAATGCTTTACAGGTAAGTTATAATCCTCATCATTGCTAATCAGGGAAGTGGATTTCTTATATTAACTTCCAACTCCTCCAATTTTCTTCTGATTAATACTGTTGTGGGTTCCAAGGCAGTTTAATTTGTCCTGAGACTTCCCAAGATCAATGCTGTTGATCCCATTGCACAGGAGTTATAATGGTGGGCCTGTGGCAGGAATAAGTCCCGAAAAAAAATCCCTATCATTTTTTTTCCCATTTACCAATTTAATTTCGGATCTCAATAGATAACATTGTAACGGATTGTCACTGATTTATGACGCTATTTTTCCTTGGGAATGTACTCCTTTTTAAACAGAATGAAAGAAGAAGAGCTAGGGTAATGGATATCGCAAGACTCGGATGAGAAACTAAACTAATGTTGCAAAACATAGTCTGTCAGTCTGTCTTGTAATTGAAGGGGCCAACTCTATCTTCTGTTGTTTATTTTGACAGGGCCCATTAAATGCTGTAAATGTGACGCTACTAGCTATATACGACAACTTAGTAGACGCAGCAAGACGGAGTATCAACGATGGACCACCAGCAAGACCCAACAATACGCTGCTGGCTTTAACCACAGAATATACAGGTAGCTACATATTATAGCTTGAACTGGTATCTCACTTTTTATGGAAGAGGGGGCAAACGAGCATACGGGTCATCTCACGGAAAGCGACTACCGCTGGCCATGAACGCCTGCAGCTCAGGAGTCACAAGCGCGTTGCCAGCCTTTGAGGATTGAATGCACTCGAGGAAATACAGGAGACGATAACTTATCTTTGTAATACATAAATTTTCTTCTACTTGCATTTGCTTTACTCCGCTATTCTTTTTTTTTACAATCAATTTTCGTAATGAATTTTTATGCCAGCCTATTTCTGTGCCAAATGTCATCTAGATTCGATCCGCCGTTGACGTGCTCGATTAACAAAAATCCTTCCAAACTTTATCATTTATAGCATTAGGTACACAGAAGTCCCTGAAGGACAGAAATCTATATTTTAAACATGTGTTATAGGGCGAGCATCTTCCGTCAAGATAAGGGAAGTGATTGAGCAAATTTTTACCGCTGGGGCATCTGCGTTGATACTGACTGCTCTTGATGACATTGCATGTAAGTATTAAAGATTTTGATTGGATTTTTACCCGACTGCCAAGTTTTTCGCGCGTATCTTATATTTTTGTTTGACAATTTCTTTATTTCTGTTTTAATTTTATGTTTCACTAATATTATCTGTATCCGGATCCGGACATCTTTGTTCCTCTCACTGACAGATGTCACATTTTGTAAATCCGCGCGCCGAATCACTATAATATTATTTAAAATAAATTACTGATAAAAGATATTAGTGGTGTTTGTTGTTGCCCAGAACCCAAAAGAGAATACTTCTGCAACAATTTCCTCGTATCTTTCACATGGCTGGATGGATTTCGACGGTTAATATATTGTTTTATCCGTCTCAAAAATCCAAGTGTAGCTTATATAGCAATATGCTATATATTATATAGCAATAACTTTTTGGACGAAAAAAAATTGCAGATTTTTTGTGCAAAATAGTAATAGGTTAATAAATTTAAATTAACCGAACCTATCGAGTAGGGTATCAAAATAAAGAAAATGAATAGAAAATAAAGAATTATTATCAAAAACAAAAAGTTATGTATTTGAATATAATAAGAAATAATAAATTGGCTTAAAAAGTTTTTGATAGCGTACAAAATGGGCCATGATGAAGACCGATACAGAACGAGATCAGACAAATGATCTCGTTCTGTATCGGTCTTCTAAGTGCATTACTTTTAAATTGTCTTTTTGCAGTCGGGTTTTTGCTTGTTTTAATTATTACTTGTTTACCCTTTGTATTGATTTATTCAAATTGTCTGATCACGTAATTAAAAACCGAGTTTCCTTTAAAATAAATTTACTTAGCCCCTAAAACACTGACCAATAATTTGATGTATCTCGTAAGAAACACATTTATCCACCCTCTTTCACTATCTTAAAATTGTATTCCAAACACTCTAGTGTCTGTTAGACTGATTGCTTTTCAACATAATGACGTTACGTGGACGCACCATAGTCCATCAACGTCGTGCGCGACCGTCCTGCGGGGTGACAGACGGTGGCGGGGACGAGGTACTCAAGATGTCAGCGGGTAGCGGGTGGTGTAGCGGGGAAGGGAAACGCGTGTAGCCGTGTGCTAGAATGACGCGCTACCTCGCCCCCGCCACTGTCTGTCACCCCGCGGGACGGTCGCGCACGAGATTGCCGGGTTATAGGCTTTTTGTTATAATTTCGATTGTAGTACAACTGTGGGTTACGGTGTTGGGTGTGTTAAAACTACTAGTAAATCAATGTACCTTATCATCACCATCAACAGTCTTTAGATAGGAAGTTTTGGCCTACTATACCACGATAGCCGGATGGGTTGGTATAAGGTTTGTTTTAAGATTGCCTTCCCTATGCAGTGTTGCTGTCCTGCTTAGCTTATGGTTTGCTCCCTTAGTCGGCTCTTACGACACCCATGAGATGAATAGGGGTGGTGACAATCCGTATTCTTAATCCGTCACCACATGTATATCTATGTATATTTATTGTAAACCTGTTTATTTTCCTAAAGAACAAACAAATACCAACATAATTCTAACCTAAAAAAGCCTAGTCAAAATACAATAAAATAAAGGACTGCGTAAAAAAGAATAGAATAATGGAGAATGGAAGGCAAAAATTCAGCAGGAAAAACTCTTTGCGACGACCCCAAATGAATGTAGGAAAAGGGTCAGTAGATGAAGATGATAAACTTATATCTTATCTTATCTTTACGTGAAACATGAGATCGAATTTACGTCAAAGGAGGTATAGAACAACGAAATAGTTTATAAATCTATGACTAGGAACACTTAAATAATTTAGTTCATGCCGTTTTACGAGCTCTCATAATAGAATTTTTAATTTGACATTTGAGCTAATATTTGTATTCATATTCATTTCATCATTTATCATCATTCTACAAAAGCACATATATCACCGCTATACGTCTATTTAATCACATTCCCGTAAACATAAAAAAATTAAACGGAAATATATTTAGAAATAGTTTAAAAAAGTGGTTAACAAACAATGTGTCTATAGTCTAAAAGAATTCTTTGATGCTAAAGTAGTGTAGCCGTTTCATTTAATTATGTATTCAATTTGATTTCACATAAATTGCAACACCTGAACTAGGTAACTGTTGTGCCTCATACCAATATGCAAAAACACCCTTATTTGTACACAGTTTTATGCAATAAATGTATGTCTATGTCTATATCATATCTTTACAGACACACTGAACCTACGCGGCAGCGATATTCCTTTCAATCCAGTATTCTTCTCATATCTTATCATCAGAACTGACGTAAGTATGCTTCGTAATCATTATACAGTTCTAATATCTTATATTTCTTATATTTTAAAAGACAACGCCCGCACTAGGAATATATCCTGTGTCGCGGGGGACTTTACAAACATACATGAAACGGACACAGAACACCCAGACTCAGAACAACAATTTGTGGATCACACATATTACATATTACCATATAGTATAGTCCATCTAAAGGTTGCCTGGAAGAGATCGCAGACTGCGATAACGGCGTCCATTGTTTCACTGTTTGTTTTTGTATGTATCATCGTATGAATCCTAATTATGGTGTGCAATAAAGAGTACCTATCAAGCTATCGTGGGTGTCGTAAGAGTCGACTAAGGGAGTAAACTACGCAGGACGAAAGCACTACAAAGACAAGAAAAGCTTGAAACAAACCCTAAACCAACCCGTCTGGCCAGCGTGGTATAGTAGGACAAACCCTCCTAAGGAGAGGCCTATAACCAGCAGTGGACTAGTAAAGGTTGATGTTGATCTATCTAGTGTTGCTATTTTGAGACACAATCATGAATTATGGTGTGGTGACTCCAGCCAGCCAGACTCCCCAACGGCAGGAAATCCCAAAGAATTTCCCATCCAGTACTAAAACCTAATATTGACTGAATTTTAGATCGCTACAGACAACATCATTTTATTCTGGAACAACGGCGTTTTACCCCCAAACATAGTAGCTCACCTGTCTTCAGAGAATGTGGTCGTTCAGTGCAGACCTTACGAAGAGATCTTCGACTACCTCAGGAGGTTCTCGGTAAGAGTTCGGTTCAAAGAACTTTATTTCTATAAAATAAACAATTTGTGGATTACACAAAGTGTTGTCAAATGTGAGGATCGAAACCATAACACTCAGCGCGGCGAGGTGGCCGCTTAAACCACTACGCCATCCTTGCAGTTAAATATAGCATTTAATGCGTGTATAAACAAAGTAATTCAATAACAATGTCAGAAATCGATACAATTAATCAATTAAACATAATTTATAATCAAAGTTTTATTACATATTCATATAATTTCGTTACGAATGAAATGTATGTAACATTTATATAGGTGTATTCTTTGAGATCGTTCGGAAGTTTGTTAAACAATTGTGCACCTTCGTATATTATACATTTATGACCGTAATTTGTACATCGTTTTAAATCCTTATCATATTCACCATTTCTGTAAAAAACAACTCCCGTCCTAGCAATATATCCTGTGTCTTGGGGAACTTAACAAATATTCGTGAAAGGGACACAAACAACACCCAGACTCAGAACAACAATTTGTGGTTCACACAAAATGTTGTCCCATGTGGGTATCCCACAAAACATAGGCTTGGGAACTTCGCAATTATTGGTGACATAGGACTAATGACTGTTAATAATATGATAACCTGGCAAACCTCAACACGGCCGTCTCATCCTAAACTAGACAGAACCAGAACTGGTGGTAACCAGAGTACAGACTGCTGATAAACATACTTATATATTTCTAATCACATGCATGCATATTAAAGATACATTTTTAATAATATTTTCGGACATTTTACACACAACGCCATCTAGTTTCAAACTAAGGAGAGCTTGTACTATGAAAGCTAGATTGACTGATAGAATACTATTTACTTTTTTTTTGTAAGTACACACCTATTATACATAGAAAACATCCAAACTCCGGAACAAATATTTCCAGATCATACAAATATTTGGTACGACCCGGGAATCGAACCCGAGACCTCAGCACAGCAGTCGCATATACTACCACTGCACCACCACGGCAATTAATATCTTGCTCATTTCACAGCTATTTGTCCTAGGTGGAGTCGAATTCACGACCTGTTTTACATAGGTACACCTACCATTTAATCAAAAGCCTTTGAAGGTAATTTTCTTAATCTCCGTTTCAGGTGGAACTGGGCAGTCAAGGCAGTGTGTTGATACCATCAAGTGGAAGTCACGCGGTATATTTAGCTGTCGAGGTTTGTGTTCTTACTTCTCACTGACTAGCTTTTATCCCGTGGCTCTGCCCGCGTGAATGTCCGTTATCGCGGTAAAAAATAACCTATGTCTTTCCACAAGAATCAAAGTATCTTCATACTAAATTGGATCTAAATCGGTTCAATAGTTATTGATTGCTCATACAAACTTCCACCCCCCTTTTTACCTTCTTAAAGGATGATTTATTTGAAAGAAACAACCCTATGTCCTTTCCCGGGACTCGGCGGATCTCTGTACCAAATTTAATTTAAATCGGTTCAGCTGTTTAAGCGTAAAGAGGTAACAGACAGACAGACAGAAAGACAGACACACATTCGCATTTATAATATTAGTATAGATCATTTTTATAACTACATATTTGTTGAGTTAAAAGAGTGGCCGTGAGCTTGTTTGCTCGATTTTTCCCACAACATACAACGCTCTATCCGTCATATTTTTTTTTTATTTTCCATTTTATCTATGTACAACAAATGAGCAGACACGTCATCTGGTGGTAAACGTCTACCGCCGCCCCGGGACACCTCCAATTCAAAATTTACAAATGCTCCCTCAGAAACATGCAAGAAGGTTTGAGCTCCGGTCATTTCATGATACCACGGCCTCACAGAAAACCGGTGTTAAGCAATCCTTTCGTTGCCTTTCACTGAGTGAGTGAGGTTACCGGGAGGGACTCCAAGGGCGGCAACGCACTTGTGACTTTTGAGTTGCAGATGTAGTTGCGGCGGTAGTTGCTTACCATCAGGTGACCCGTCTGCTCGTTTCCCCCTTATAGCATAAAATAAATAAATAATCTCAGTCACTCGGCAAAAGGTAACAAGAGTTTTGCTTAACAGCAGTCTCTACAAGGCCGTGATACCACCCCGGTCAAGGCGTGTATGCCATGTCATGGTATGCTATAAATTACTAAATATACACCTACTGATTAACCTTGACCCTGTGTTGTTGGCAGCAAGGACCAGCTCGCATCTTAATAGCTCCTGTGACGCCCGTTGCTCTGATGAAAGTCATCAAGAACGACGTGGAATTGAGGGTAAGTTCGGCAGGGAATTGCAGAAGACAACGGAAGCAGGACCATCTGTTTTGGTTCTTGTTTCCAGCTAAAGGTCAGACCAGAGTATTCGGAGAGGAGGAGATGATCTGACACATATCTTCAGACCTCTCTAAGCACGCGCACAGATGCTTCCAAAACCCATAAAGATCCTTACAGACAGTTAGTCGGTGTTACCTGCGGGTGGAAATTCCTTGCTCATCTCACAGGGACACTGAATTTTTTCAGGATAAAAATAGCTGTGTTAATCTAGGGTGACATCTACCTCCATACCAAATTTTATCAAAATTGGTTTAGCCGTTTGAGTTGAATAAGTAACAAACACACAATTTACGCATACATTAAATTAATATAAAATTTTTACTTTTATAATGTAAGTGCGTTGAATACTAATTACATTCCCTAAGTAGATACATTGTAGGAGCATGTGTGTATTCCAGGGTTTCCGCATAGCACACATTAAGGATGGCACAGCTGTGGTGCGTGGGTTGTACTGGGTGGAACAGCAAGTTCATGCAGGAGTCAACGTTACTGAGATGCAGCTCTCGGACGAAATAGAGAGGCTAAGAAGGTAAGACTACGCAAGGTAGGGTCAATATGGCCGATTTTTATCTGCAGCTTAAAACTGACCTTTGTTTTTTAAATATTTATTTTTATTTAATAGCACTTTGTCTTTATGTATATGCCTACATTTTTTCTTCTTCTAGATTAGATCTTAAACATATTTTTAATTCCGTAATACTTAATGCATTATTTTTGTATGACTCTATTGGTTTGCTCATCTATACAAATAATGAGAAAACAATCATCATTAATAATGTCCAAACATTAGTTTGAAAAAAGACACAAAAAACACGCTTTTGTTGCTAGCAGAACTAAAAAGTAGGTTTTTTTTTATAAGTACAAAAAGAAAAATCTTTTTATCGTACGAGTATAAAAGCGTGAACCCCACGCTTTTATACGAGGGCGGGTCAATAAGTAAGTAAGTATAGAGCTCAAGGGAGACTACGTTGAAAAATAAAATGATTTATTTATCAAAAATCTGTGTTTTATTCCAAAAGTCACGGACTTATTGACCCGCCCTCGTATAAAAGCGTGGGGTTCTTTTCAAGAAATTTTATAATATACTAACTTTAGTTTGACCAATATCTGTCAGTAAAATATTTTTACAACAATTGAGATCTAGCATCCTACGCACTTTTACGATATTTTTTTTTTCTATTTGAACTTATAAAAAAAAATCCTACTTTTTAGTTCGGCTAGCCACAAAAGTTTTTAAAAATATAATGTTATTTAAATATATTTGACCATGTTATTTTTTTATTTGTTTAACAGCGAAGAAGAACACTTTATGGGCCCGTCATTTTCAACAATCGCTGGCGCGGGCCCCAATGGTGCCATTATACATTATTCCCCGCAAAGAGAAGGACCCCAAAAAGTTATTCAAGCTAATGAAATGCTGCTACTGGACTCTGGCGGTCAGTACTTGTAAGTAGCTAACTGATGATATCAGAGGACACATAGCGCTGTGGGTTAGAGTGAGAGAGGAGGACCTCAACTCTCACTCTAAACACAACGCTTGCCGTATTTCGGAAAGACGCTTTACATAAAATTTAAGTAATAACCTAAGCTTTTCTCAAGTTAAACAATTTAAATATTAAATAGTCCAACTTAGATTAGTTTAAGTTATCACTTCTGTCGGGCGTCCTGACACTCACACGTTTTTTTTTAATTACTGGAATAGTTAACAAAATAAAAATTCAGGAGCGTACAGAAAACTGATTCTAAGTCTGCCACGATTCCAATTTAAATTACTGGCTTGCCGCCAGTGACATCCACGTGAGCCCAGAAACTGGTCACTGCTCAGCATTGATGCTGAAACGCAATGAAATGATAGGTACTTGGCTAGACAGCTCTGGTTTTCAAAGGTAACCATGATGTAATAATGTGAATTATGAAAATATGGCACTAGAGAATCTATAATGCACAAAGAGCTGTCTTTTGGTTTATTTAATTCAATCTTTACCTGGCAACTTTGGTATGTACCGCCATTATTTCGGTAAATTGGTGGTAATCGTTAGCATTTAAAGAAAAGATTGTTAAATGCATATCATGTATTACGTACATACAAAACTCAATAGTCGTACCTATTACAAGTACCATTTTTATAGTATAAGATATTGTTTGGGGAATGAAAACAATAACTCGAATCGTCTTTTTCCGTAAATTTTGAGACCTCTAAGTTTTAGGACTTATCTTCATAAATGGAATGTGTGATAATAATACTGAAAAAAAAACAACAATTACAATTGAAATCTAAGTTTGGTTTTTTAACCTGACTGTTTGTCGGTTTTTTAAAAGACTGATCCTGACAGCGCGATTCACAATCAAACTAAACTAAGCGCAATCTAGTAAAATAACCGTCAATTAACAACAAAACACGAACCGAGTTTTATGTACACTCTATTTAAAAACTCACTGTATTTAACCAGGGAAGGTACCACAGATATAACAAGAACCCGTCACATGAGCGAGTGTTCTGCAGCTCAACGTCTCGCCTTCACACGGGTTTTGAAGGGACACATTAGCTTAGGAACCACTTTGATGCCTAAGGGAACATTGGTGAGCAATTACTGACTTATGCTTGCAAAAACGAACAAATTTCCCCTTATTTTCACCATTTTTTATTGATGATCGGCTCCTATTGGACGTAGCGTGATGTTATATAGCCTATAGCCTTTCTTGATGAATGGACTATCTAAGGCTGAAGCAGTTATTCAATCCGAATCAAGAGTTCCTGAGGTTAAACCTAAAAACCCATCCTAAATACGCAAATACAATGCACGATATAACCAGATTGAAAAAATACGAGACATATATAGAATACCAGCGATGAAATGACCCTGATGACCTCGTGAAGGTCATAAAAATCACATAAATACATTGTTATTCCTATTACAAGACCAAACATAAATCAGTCTGCCGTTACCAGACGGACTTACTACTAAATAACTAAAACTATACATGTTCGTAACGCACACTAAACTAAACTCAGCACTCTTTTGCCAGGGTCACATCATAGAGGTTTTAGCAAGAAAGGCACTGTGGGACGTAGGTCTCAACTACGGTCACGGGACTGGCCACGGAGTGGGCCATTTCCTCAACGTTCACGAGGCTCCCACGTACATACTCAGCTCGCCGTTCGCTAACGATCCTGGGATCTCACCATCTATGATTTACAGTAACGGTAAATAGTTGATGATTTAAATATGGCCAGAACATCATCATCATCTGCCTACCCTTTTTTCAAATGTATTTGAAGTCGGTGCAATGAGTTTTTTTCTTCCATTCTCTTTGATCTCTGGACATCGTCTTTCACGCACTCCTTTATTTCATTTCGAAATTCATAGGGTACTTCTCGTTGAACTGTAACTCTGAACTCTGAACTCTCTCTATAACAAAAAATCTGAAAACTATACATTTGTAATTAAATCATAAAAAAGTAGTCTTTTTTAAACTACGTAATCAATCATCAAGGTATTGTACCTCGACTTCACTAGACTTCATGTAACTAATTATAGGTTTTGCTACTGGATTTCGAGAAAAATCTCGGAAAAAACTGCGAGACTCGAATCCTGAACTATTTATGTGCCTACAAATTTGGACAGAACCCTCAGTGAAAACGTCAGACTCGCACTTGCCCGGATTTTTTAATTTTTTTTAATGATCACGATTTATAGGAAATTTCTATTGATGCATTTTTACAGAGCCAGGATATTACCAAGTTGGTGAATACGGAATACGTCACGAGGATCTAGTGGAAACTATAGAAGTTACTCCTAGCTCTGACCATCCGCTTGTAAGTACCTAATATTACACGATTTATTAGCAACAATCACATCACATCAACAGCCTTTAATAGTCCACTGCTGGACATAAGCCTCTCCTTAGAAAGGAGGTTTTGGCCTGCTATACATACTGGCCAGACGGATTGGTATAGGGTTTGTGTCAAGTTTTCCTTCTCTCTGCAGTGCAATTGATAAATTAAATTTCTCATCATTAGTATTTTTAGTGTACTTTTTTAACCAAATATTAACATTTTTAACCAAATACACACCCTGCCTCAAAATCTCCTTCAACAATGTCACCATTCTTCAGCAAATCACCAGAGTTGTCAATCGCTTGGTGCCCACCCCAAGTTCTTGTAGGACCTTTTCAAATTTGAAAATGGCGTCGTACAACTGCCATATTGTTTTTTTGTAAAACATGTATTTGTAGCAAGTGCCACGCGCTTTTTAACGATTGATAACGAAAGTTCTGTTACCTTAAACTAAATCATTAAAGTTGTGGGCTTTCTCTACTAACCGTATTTTTATTCTAGTACTCTACCTATACATATATAAATATATGAAAATGTTATGTAATATAACAATATCTCTATATTGTAATCTATATATACTTAATTGCAACAGGCTGCTGGACTTGTTGGGAACTTCCTCGGTAACGGCGTTGTGGGTTTCCATTCGATAACGCTGGTGCCACATCAGACTGCCTGCCTTGACGTCAAGTTACTGACTGACTTTGAGGTAAGCTACTTCTACTAACTTCCTGCTTTATTACATATCACCTTTTCCCCACAGCTTTGCTGGAGTAAATGTCGATTTTGTGAATCAAATTTAACCTCAACCAAAATTAGATTATGAGCCATTCCAGGCTATAATTTGTCTGTCTCTAATTTCGTTCAAAGCTGTTGAGGTCTTTTGGCATTATTGAGTAACAAACATCTATCGGCTCCGCCCTCGTATAAGTCGGTTATCACGGTAAAAAGTAGTCTGTGTCTCGCTAATAATGTAGCTTTCCATTGGTTAAATAATTTTTTAAATTGGTTTAGTAATTTAGGCGTGAAAGCGTAACAAGCAAGCAAACAAACACTTTCACATTTGAGACATTTCAAGAGAGAGCGAGATTGAAAAATGTGTAACAAGACTTTTTTCCGACACTTCAGTTTGCGCTCAATGCTCACATCTTTTTCATATTTCATATATATATAGCAAACGTCTACATAAAGCCAAAGGAACTTCGTTCCCACCATAGACCCCTCACGCCGTTTTTTTAATATAAGTATGGGTGAAGTGCAGCAACACTGCATGTAATATGCTGTATGTTTAACGGGCACTCTGTGGGCACGTTTTTCTACATCTACAAGTACTTCATCTAGAATTCTAAAGTTTTTTCCAAAAAACATGTATATGCTATATTCTAATCTTGATAATATTTTTTTTAGATTAAATATCTGAATGACTATCACGCAAGAGTCTTGAATACGATTGGTCCCATTCTTCAAAATAGAAGTTTGACAGCTGAATATGCGTGGTTAGAAAAGGAGTGCGCGCCAATCGCTCGAGCAAGTGCCTTATTGGTTAAGTCCACGCCATATTTGGCGATAATCAGTCTCATTGTTATGTGGTTTGGAATGTAACTTTTTAATACTGTTATATTGAATCGTATGTTAATAAATATTTATATTATTTTATATAGAAATATATTTTTATTTTAAAAATAAGGTGAAATGGGCGTATCCAGCTTTTGGACTAGAATAGGGAGTGGTTAGGTAAAAATTTAGGAAGCCTGATCCCCCGCGCTTGTTTTACGACAAGGGACAAATAAATTTGCGGAAATCAGGAAAAAAAACTCAACGCAATTGAAAATTTTGTCCCATTTGCACATTTTATTATAATGTTGCCTTGCCTACGCGTTCACTTTAACTACGCGTTACCTTGAAAAAGTATTGATTATTAAATCAAGGTAACTTATCATTGTTTTTTTTTTAAGAGGGGGCAGACAAGCACAAGAGTCGCCTGATAGAATATGACTACCACCGCCCATTAACGCCTGCAACTCAGGAATCACAAACGCGTTGCCAGCCTCTTAGGAAGGAGTACGCTCTTGTCTTGAAATACCGCTGACGATAACTTGTTCCACAGATTAGATGTCCGAGGCAAAAAGTTGCTTGATAAGCGCACAGTGGTGGGGTGCCATTTATCCAAGTGACGGGCATGAAAATTTTCCTAGGGCTCTTTGGTGCCACTAGAAAAAAAAAAATGTACCCAATACTTAATTTCCGATTTCGGTAGGTACCCAAAACAATGATGTCTATTAAATCTCTCGCCAGGTACTATGTTCGTTGAGTAATACAGTTTTCTTGGTAATATTTTTTTTAAATAGTCAAGAAATGCTACACCTTGTCACTCTGCTAATAATATATTGACAGGCGCTTTATCGATGTCTACCAACAGCAATTGCAGCAACAATTTGTTGATCACAAGAAATGTCGTCCCACGTGGGGATCGAACCCACAACACTCAACGCAGTAGGACCACCTCGCTATCTGTGCTGTCAAATGAGCGAACCATTTCATTGAATTAGCTGTTACGTGGCTTAAATCCCAAATGTACCACCACTTATAAAGACGATAACAATAGTCAACCATAATCTATATATATATAAGAGATTTCCACGTATATAGTCACTCATCACGATATCTCTGGCACCATTAGAGCTAAAGACTTGAAATTTGGTAGGAATATTCTTTTCACCGAGTAGGGGTCAGCTAAGAAAGGATGTTAAGAAATTAAAAAAAAAAATAATAATTAAATAGCAAAACATCGTTTGCAGGGTCAGCTAGTCACACATAATACATAATAATAGGCACGCAACGTGCTTGTGACTCCTCAGTGGCAGGCGTTTATGGGCGGCTGTAGTCGCTTTTCATAAGGTGACCCGTCTGCTCGTTTGCACCTTGTTCCATTAAATACTCAACAAAACGCTAATACTACCTACTACAACAAATACTACTGTGTTTCCGAAACATTTAGGTCCATCCTAAGGTTTCCTGGAGGAAATTGATCTTAGCAATAAGGCCGCCATTTGTACATTACATGTCTGACATTTTTATGTTCCTTAATATGACTTACCTTGTAGGTCAGGGTCGTATTAAGCGCTGTTATTGGCGTTCCCCACTATACCTGACACTTAAAAGTTGTCAGAGTAAATTTTGACATGTTGGCAGTAAAAAGGACTTGCTAGGGTCTCCTTGTGTGACAGTACTTCTGTTACTAAAAGGGGGAAAAGCATTTTGAGGCCAACTGTTGGACGCCTTTTTTCCTCTGCTTTCACAGCTTTTGACTGTCCATCTAGACTTAGGGAGTTATTGTCAGGACCCGGATCCGTTGATAATGATTTAACTTGTCTATATTCAGTTGTGGACGTCTAAGGGCTGAGAAGATATAATTTAGCACCAAAAACCGTCATATTTTTTTTTAATTTTCATGTAACCAGTGTCATACATCGAAATCTCACCATTAAGATAAACACAAAGAAAATGACGACATATTCAGGTAAAGGTAATTTTGGCTAGTCATTACTTCTAAATAACATCATCACACATCAACAGCCTTTAATAGACTTCTCCTCCGAAAGGAGGTTTGGCCTACTACCACACTGGCCAGATGGGTTGATATAGGGTATGTGTCGAGTTTTTCTTCTATTTCACATCACATGATCAACAGCCTAGAACAGTCCACTGCTGGACATAGGCCTCTCCTTAGAAAGGAGGTGTTGGCCTACTATACCACGCTAGCCAGACGGGTTGGTATAGGGTTTGTGTCAAGTTTTCCTTGTCTTTGCAGTGCTGTTATCCTGCGTAGTATGCACTTAATCGGCTCTTACGACACCCACGGGATGAATAGGGGTGGTGACATTCTGTATTCTTAATCCGTCACCACACAGCCTTCTTCTATTTGCAGTGCTGTTATCCTGCATACCTTGCTCCCGTAGTCGGGGTGATGATGAATAGGGGTAGTGACTCTCTGTGTTCTTAATTAGTCACCACACGGAAAATTCTGAATGTAAAATTCACATATTTAAATCATTAGCAATAGTTTATTTCTAAAATAAAACACCAATTTACATAGTTTAATTAACTGTTTTACTTAATGATAATAACACAATGCTCAATACATCTACTATGTTAGCTAGTTTTATTAAATATTTAATCGTGCCTGTAGTTCTTGATGTTGATCAACACATAAGCAGGGATGGCGGACCAGCCAATCACCATGAGTGCAGAAAGGAATATGACCTCCTGAAATAAAATAAAAAACACATTAAATATTATATGATTTTATATTTGGCAACCTTCATGTGAAAGTCACCTTATTCCTAGAACTTCTCATTTTACTAACAACAAAACTTTATTTTTAATCAGAGCCTAAATCATTGAAAACTAGAGATGCTGATCAAACTATTTATTTATAAATATTTTTTAAAGACTTACTCATTGCCCAATAATAATGCATAATTATAATTGTCAAATTCAGTCTCAAATACTGAGCATAGAACTCTCTAATCAATTATTCTGAGTGTGTGATTTGTAATATATAGAACTATGTATAAGTAACATTTAATATATTATTTCGCCATTTTATCTTATCTGAAATTATTTCCATTTTCAAGATATAGCTAGATATTTAGAAAAAAAAGTGTGCTATAAATGTCATCATGTCATTGTGTGCAGAAATCATGATATATGGACTTTGCAGAATCATAGACAGGGATAGTCTTAGTCATAGACAATCTTATAACTAATGGGCTTAAGACTAATGTAAGACATTAAACTAACAACAGAAAATTTTAGTAAATTAGATTAAATGGTTAATTTATTTTATAATTGCTATTTTTATTTTTGAAGTGAAAACTTCTTTAGGCGCTTTGGGCTTTTTCAAACAATTAAAAAAAGAATGTATTTTATGATTTAAAAAAAAGCTCATTTTGAAGATGGGAAAAAATCATTGAACTCGCAAAACTGTTACTGTTACTGACACCTCTGTTGAAGTGAAAAATTTTTTAGGGGCAATTGGCATTTTTCATGATGGGAAAAAACAATTGAACTCGCGACACTGTTACTGTTACGTAATGGTAAACAACTACCGCCACCAATGACACTTGCAACTTAAGACACAAATTTGTAGTAGTTTCAAAATTATTGACTCACCCACAGGACAGGCTTGCCTAGTGTGGGGCCACCGGCAATATTGTTAGTAATTACTTGGAAATAAATTATTATTATTATTATTATTATTGCTACTTTTAAATCATAATCATATAATGAAATGATAGGCTATAGTCACTGCAATTTTACCTAAGATAAATCACTACTGGGATTTGGACATAGACAAAGATAAATGCCATCAATAAGTTAAGCAAAGAAAAAACCAAACTTTTTACCCTTGCAGTGGTTCTGTATATTAGACACAGGTGTAATTATATGATTTTATGATTAATAATACATATGATTCATAACAGTTGATTGTGATTTTATTCCATCCCTAGTGTGTTGCCGTCCTATGTGTGTGTTGGAACTCCATTAACTTCATTCTCTTGATGAAAAGCTATAGAAGAATTCAAAATCCCTCCCTCCTAGTCCGCTTAAAAGTGCAGAAGCATAGCTATCCAGCAACTCACAATTGTATTTTTACTAAAACTTTGCTTTTATTGCAGTTTTTTTTAAACTTTTAAAACTTGTTTCAATTATTCTTGATTTAAGAATGAAAACCCTTGTTTAATTTTAAATAGTTAGACCAAAGGACATTTTAATGCGATACCATATTTATATTAAACACTTTGAAATATGGGCAATAAATACGTACCTACAGTAGATAACCTATTTTTACTTTAGCATTACGTAATTTAAAAAATAAATCTCGAAGCCGCATAACATATTATTATGAGTTAGAAAGAAATTAAAAATCTATGACTATAAAACGCTTGAGACCTTTATTTACTCTCTAGGATATATTTATGATATTAGAAAATATAAAAATCTTCACGATAAACTTACCCCAGTAGAAACCTTGTTTCTAGCTGGTACAGCGATTACGCTCATGTTCCTCTGCTGTACTGCATTCCTAATGACCTGAGGGTTGGTCCTGAGTAGGTTCCTGACGGCGAGCATTTTGATCTTCCTGAAAATTTCACTTGCACTGACACCAAAAATATCACGATGAATTAAAGGAAATCAATTGATGTAGACGTAGGGTTGCCCGGTGTAATAATGTCGATTTTTTTTCAATTCAAGTTCGCTTTATGACATCGATGAGTTTTCAATTCGATAGGTTTGTGAAAAGTTGAGACAGCATTTGATATTTATTGCCATTTTATAAAAATCAATTTAAAATGAATTTGATGGCAGAATACCTTTTATGACAGTTGCTATATCGAGAGTTGATTGGAACCGAAATTTTATTGCGAGAATTGTCTTTCTGTTTGAGGAGTTCCCTTCACCGCTCTCTGTTTCCTTCATCAATTTTATTCGGGGTCTCCGTCATATTATCGTTATATAATTTGTTTATTTTATAAAATTTGAAAACGCCTTAAACATAAATTGCAATTTCCCTTAAACGTTCGTTACTTTTTATCAACTATTTCCTGTTCTTTGCCCTTTGGATTAGTTTTCTATTAAATAAATTTAGGCAATACTACGACGGTAGTAAGTAGAAAGCGAAACTCCTTATGTCTTTGCTATTAAATTGCGTTTTTTAATTTTTCGTGGTATCATTAGAACTCTACAAAAACATCATAAAATGAAAATAAATCATAATAATTTGTCATTTTTATCTCACCTAGCGCAATTTTATTTTAACTGAAAATATATTTGATAGCCTAGATCAGGCATTCCCAAACTTTTTGGGCACGAAGCCCCTGTTCCAAAATGCACTGATATCTAAGACCAGCCAAAGTACTTTAAAATCCTATCTCAAGTTTTTTCCTATTGATACAAAATACTTATAATTTGAACAACTTTGCCGTTGGATGAGTGAGTAAACTTGACATCACTTTTTCATCAAAATTTAACTAAATATATACACGTATTTATACAGTATCTTGAAAGTTTCAAATAAGAACTTGCGTTAATTAATAGAGGTCGATTTTTGGGTAACAGATGATGATTCTAACCAAATTAAAGACTAAATTACGAATCGATTCATTGACAGCAGTTTTAGTCGAATTGCAAGTCAACACAAAGTGCAACTCTCAAACCCTATCGAAATGTCAACTCAGGTATCTAAACATCTTATGTTCGGATGAACGGACAAAAATAATGAATAAACGAAAATATTTTATTTATAATATAGAATTATGTTGTTCGTGATAAGCTGACAATTCTTCTTCTAATTTATCCTTGCCACATACTTCCCTCAAATGTCTATTGAGTTTGCTGTTACCCTGAAACAATAAATAGAAAGTTTAAGCATATTTAGACGTTGTTTAAACTAATGTTGCGGGTTTACGTTTGTTGTTTACGGTTGCCTTAGTCGATTTTTGTGTTGTGACTTGTTTCATTACTTTTTACTGCTTTAGGCCCCGTCAGCACAGAGATATTTTACCGCACGTTTTGTTTCGAAATGGAAATGGAATCTATATAGGACTATTAGCACTGGCGGGAAACAATTTAAGACGAAAAGTGCCCGAATTAAGTATTAATGATAATGCCCGGGTTAATTATTTAAATCTGCTATAAGAGGTAGTTCTATCCTGAATTAATTAATTAATTTATGTTTTAAGGACCTAAAACAATGATGTACACAACAAAATCACTCACTACAAAAAATAAGCTTTTGACTAGTGCATAAAAGGTCATAGCATGGAATCATAGAAGGCCACAATACGCATGACCATTTTTGGCTCAAACAGAGGTATATATTTCTACTTTTTTCTTGGAAATTGTTCGCTTCTGTTTTAGTACAAAATTATTATTTTTTGTCCTTTTTATTATAAACTATTCTAGTTTCATATACCTTAAAGCTCTTGCCACAGAGATGACACTGCACTTCTTTGACTTTCGCCCGTGACGTATGCTCTCGGACATGACGTAACAGGGACTTGCGACTCGTGTACTTGTAACCGCATAAGTTGCATGAAAAATTTTTGTTCGCCGAATGCACTCGGGATATGTGGGACGATAAAGCACTCGGATTTGGGCAAATACGGCTGCAGATTGGGCAGTCATACCTGAAAATTATCAGCTGTTAATTTTAGGTACAGACCTGGAATGTTAAACCAGGTCAAGAGCGTAGCCACGGTGGGCCAAGAAGATGCAAATACCCCAACGTGGATGCTCTAATCAATAATCACTGTGCGCTTTTCGAGACACTTTTTGCCCCCCACAACCAATCTGTGGAACGGGTTATAGTCTGCGGTATTTCCGGACCGATACGTCCTTCAAACCTACAAGAAAAGAGCGTACTCCTTCCTAAAAGGCCGGCAACGCGTTTGTGACTCCTGAGTTGCAGACGTTCATGGGCGGCGATAGTCACTTTCCATCAGGTGACCCGTCTGCTCGTCTGCCCCCTCTAAAAAAAAATAAAATTTATTTTCGATAATTATGATTTTCTTTCATATATAGGAAGGATATACATAGGAAGTAAAAAAAAAGTTTGGTGTGGTTTAATGAAACAGCGATGCAAGCAAAACTTTTTTTTGGATCGTAGGCATTTAACTGAAAATTTTCGACCAATTATTAAATTTTAGAATTAGTATTGATCAAAACACACATATACCGCGTAGCGCTTGCACCAATGAGTGAGAATATTAATGCTACACGGTCAGCTGATGCGAGCGCCGCCAGCTGTAATGCGACATGCGATAGATGGACGAAAAAATTTGAAGAGTTGTCATTAAAGTTTCGTTTTAACAGTGTGGTGTAGTTTTATGAAACTACGATATAAATGCAACTTTTTTCGGATCGGTCAGCTGATCCGAGTGCCGCCATATTGGCCTTGCCCGCTCGGCCGGCGATAATGCGACATGCGATAGATGAACGAAAAAATTTGAGGCCATGGACAAAAGTTTCATTTAAAAAAGTGCGTAATACGAATTAATGTTGGGAGAGCATGCTTCTGAAAAAATGGGCCGCATCGCTGTGTGATACAATGGCCTCACAGAAAACCGCTGTTATGCAATTATTTCATTGATTTTCTGCGAGTGAGTGTTAGGGTTAAAGAAGCCCTAAACCAGAGGGGGTTTGGGGCGCCCTAATTCTGAAGAGATCTTAAGATCTGGGTCTTAAAAGGCGGCAAAGCAGTTGTTACTGTTAGTTGCAGGTGTCCAGGACAGTTTAATTTTATTAATTTTAAGCAACGAAACTATAAAAGATATTCAAAACGCAGTCTATAGCATACGGTACATGTATACAAAATAGTTCTCTAATATATATGTTCTAAACTCCTCCGAAACCGCTTGCCCGATTTCAATGAAATTTTTTATGTGAGTTAAAGTCGATGCCTCCGTTTTGATTCCCAATTCGATGCGGTACGTAAGTGGCGCGCCAATAGTGGTCCAGGATTTTTTTTACGTCCGAGCAGGACATTTTCGGTTGAATCCGCTAGTAGTTTATAAAAATCTATTGTCTCAAATTAAACCTCACAAGAGACTATCAATGTTACGCGAATTATTAAATAAAATATAAAACAAATAAATTTACAAAAAGAAGTCGCCCGAACAGGGACTTGAACCCTGGACCCTTGGATTAAAAGTCCAATGCTCTACCGACTGAGCTATCCGGGCCGTGGAAGTTATTCTGAAATACCTTAATACAAATTCAGGAGCGATTCAAAAGACATTTATTTGTTTCCTATTAGATTGATAATGTTTTGGCCAATGAAGTTGCAAACAAAGTCAATGCCCGCCTAGTAGTAACTGGATAGCACATGGATCTCAAATAGATTTTCATAAATTCGCTATCGAGATGAAATGGAAAAGCAGATTTCTGCTTTAATTAGAGCCGACAGAAAGGGAGGGCAGCTTCATTTCTTAGCATTGACGTTGTGTAAAGTAGTCAGATTACATCACAAAATAGAGAATTCTTTATACAATTTAGTTTCAAGTTTATTTTTTAAACAAAATTTCAGGTAAATACATGTTTGTGTATAATTAAAAATGCAATAAGATAAAATTCTTAAACATTTCGATATAAATTGCAAAAGGATATAAAACAGATGGTCTAGCCATGTATGTTGCCTTGTCATAATGCAAATGTATATACAATGACAGTCCAAATTATACTGGTTACTAATATGTACACAATTATTATAGAATTATTCAATATTTAATAAAATGAGCCGGCATTACATATCTACATAAATTGTATTACTTTTTTTTAAAGTTTATAAACTTTACACATCTCACACACGGCCGTCTGATCCCAAACTAGGCAGAGCCTGTACTATGGTAACCAGACTGCTGATAAACATACTTATATATTTCTAAATACATACATATTATATTATAGATAAATAACACCCAGACACAGAACAAATGACAGTGCTAATCACACAATTATTGGTCCTGGATGAGAATCAAACTCACGACCTCCGGCTTAGCAATAAAAACCCTTATGTCCCAATCCCCTCTGAGTCAAGGGTCCTGCCCTTACGTTATTAATAAATATCCCCTAACATATAATGAACTATACGATTATTTGCTATCTGTCTTCTATACAAATAAATAAAATTGCAGTGTCTGTTTGTAATATTAAAATAACCGCTTTTTACTAAATGCATATGTATGTTTACACGGTACATATGCCAAAATAACATTTTTTTCAATTTTTGTCTGTCTGTCTGTTTGTTCCGGGTGATCTCTGGAACGGCTGGACCGATTTCAACGGGACTTTCACTGGCAGATAGCTGATGACACTTTTACTTTTTTTAGACTAGCTTCGCCCCGCGGCGTTGCCCGCGGTTATAACAACAAACGCGGGTAACACCGCGGGTCTAAGCTAGTATATAATAAATCCGGAGTGCGAATCGGATTCGCCCACCGAGGGTTCCGTACATATTATAAGTAGTGAGGAATCGAATCTCGCAGTTTTTGCCAAGCTTTGCTCGAAATTTAGTGTCCAAAACCTATAATTACTTCTATTTTTGAGTTTTAAAAGACAAATTAGAATTAAAATTTCAGATTTATCCCTATACTTGTAGGATAAGACGATGTTACTTGCCAAATTACATAAATTTTGATTTCCTTGAGAATGTCGAAATATGCGTTTTTTTGCGGCATAAACAGGCGTTTCCTTTTTTTACGTTAACTTAGGAGTTTGATTATTTTACAGCTTTAGGAGACTTTTAATTTTTAATCGATACCTCCATGCGTTCCTGTAATAAAGGGTCTTGACAGACAGACAGACGGACAACAAAGTGATCCTATGAGGGTTCCGTTTGTTTTCTTTTTGAGGTACGGAACTCTAATAACGGACAATCTTTCTCGGGCACTACGAAAAAGGCGGACTGAAATTCAGCCATTTTTCCCTAACGAGTCCTGTCATACTCACACTCTCTCCTGATGCTGAAGGGCCGTCCTCATATGAGCCAGTAAACTCTTCCTGGTGGTATACCCCACCCCACAAGTTACACAAACATGCGGCTTGTCAGTACTTGTAATGGAATGTTTCTTCTTATGCTGGGTTAGGGTGTACGGGCTACTGAAGTTCGCTGAACACACGTCGCAAGTAAACTTACGTTGAATGTGCTTTCTGTAAAGAAGAAAGAAGAATGTGAAGTGGTCAAGGTGGTAGGTTACGACCACTTACAGAAGCGTGTTGGTAAGCAGGAAAAGAAATTTTGCAATATATAATTATGTCAAGTAGTATTTATAATAGTGACGACAGAAAGCAGACTAAATTTAATACAAAACAACACGGGCTTTTATACACGAAAATCTATACAAATAAATAAAATTGAAGTATTTGTTTGTAATGTCAAAATAATAGGTTTTTTATGCTCACACGGTTGTTTGCACGAGACCTATGTCTAAAATCATTTTTTGTCTGTCTGTTTGTTCCGGGTAATCTTCTGAATGGCTGGACCGATTTTGATAATATTTTACTACTAGGTAGCTGTCTATATAAGGATTAACTTTGGCAAAAAAAAACTCAAAAAAGCCCTATATAATTTTGCCCTTAAAATTTATAACAATCAATGATCACGACTGGCACTTTCTATAATTAATAGTAATAACGGTTCAGACTTGACCGTTCTTCAGGTAGACGTTCACCAGAGAACAATAGATGAGAGGCGACCATTTTGCGCCGGCGCAGCACGAGCAAACGGTTGTAGTCGGCCATGTTAAGTGGGCGTGGCCTTATCAGAAAATTATGACGTAGGTGTTCATTCGATATGACGTAGCATCGTACAATAGTGTCGTGATTTGGTGCTGTGTTCAGTTTGTACACTACTTGTTCTATATGTAAACCTACTCGTCCGCTTGCTACAAAGGTATCTTGCGTTTCAAGTGAATTCTAGATTACCAAGTGTAATCTAGGATGAAATTACTTGCTGACTTTTTGAAGTACATGTTCAGGAGCAGGTTTTAAGGCATTCTACTCAGGTGTAGGAGAGGATGGGACTTTTACAGGCTGTTATTCAAGATGTTACCGCCCGTTTAAGGGGTTGAGCCTTATAAGAAGAAAGCGCAATCAAACCCTCTGTATAAATTAACCCCCTGTACAAGTAATATTCTTTTTAAAGCAACCCTTGTTGTATATACTTACATCATATGTGTTCTGACGGCGGCTTGGTTCTCATAACTCTTGCCACAGACGTTGCACGAGTAGGTGCGATTACTAGTTCTACTCATGTGAAACCGTTTCAAATGTTGTTGGAGGCAACTGGCATTTCTGGAAACATAAAGAAAACTGTCACCTGCCAAATAAACACTAATTCATCATATTTGACTGCACGGATGCTCACTACTACGCTGAGTGTTGTGGGTCCGATCCCCACATGGAACGACACTTTGTGTGATCCACTAATTGTTGTTCTGAGTCTGTGTGTTCTCTGTGTCCGTTTCATGTATGTAAAGTAAAGTCCCCCGCGACACAGGGCATATTCCTAATTCGGTAGTTGTCTTTTTTTTAATAAAAACAAATTTCGCACCTTTAATAATAAACTGAATTAATTCAAAATTTTCGTTTTTCGAGTTTTCAACAAATACCAAATCAACTTCATCAGTAGAACACGAACAATCCAACAGCCGACTCGATACCATGAAAATGGCAGAGATAAGAGATCGTCGTTCTCTTTTTGACGAACTCGCACGTACATGAATGTCAAACTTTAAATGCGATTTCCCACAATATTGAAATTCTAAGTTAATTCAGTTTATGAATAAAGGTGCGATTTATTAAATGTACAAGAAATTCAGTCCCGTTTAGAAGTTTTAGTATAGCTGCAAGTACATTGCGGGCTCGACTTGTCGGGCTAATTCAGAAGGTTGCCGCCCGCCGGCCAATGTAATACACATTAGCTCGATACTCACTCAAGCGTCGCGTTGCGTCCGAGTAACATTACCAGACTATAATGAAGACAAAAGCACCATAGTAATAGGCTGCCTCAATAATAAAAACAGAAAACTTCGTTTTCCACATCGAACAATACACAAGGTGTCGTGGAAGAAGTAACAGTCACAGATCTGGCTGTCAGATGTTACACAACATAATGCGAGTACTATAAGATTCCCTGGATTTTTTATTTATTTATTTCTAACTAGACCTGCCGTCTTACATGGATCTGAGTTTTGGGCAACAGAGAAAACGGATGAGAGAGGCCTCCATGTAGCTGAAATGCGAATGTTAAGATGAATGTGTGGCGTGACTAGAATAAAAAAAACGAGTATTCGTTAGACTACACGATTGAAGTAAAACTTCTCGGCTATGGGAGAAAGAGAGAAAGAAAATGTGTACTCGCAACTCTCCCTCTCTTGCCCCTACAGTAATATACGAAACGAAACTCTCTCTCTTTTTATCTTCACTAACTTCTATCTCTCTCTCAACTTCCGTTCGCCTCGCCCAATCACACTTTTCGCAACGCTCTCATCACGCATTCACCAGCTTACTCCCCAATCCCCAAGTCAAGGGTGCGTACTTCAATAAGGTTAGGTATGACTACATTATGCCTGGTTCATTAGAGGCTTGGCAAACGTCCACAAGCTAAAAGTCTTTGCTTGCTTGCTTGGATGTCATTTACATTCTTGCGAATGAGTTCGTGTGTCTTAGACAGGCAAACATAGCAGACAAGGACATATTTTTATTCATAATATAAACGGCGGCACTAAACACAAAAGAAAAGAAATCCTCTAGCCCTACTGCTCAACCAGTAGAGCATTGAGACCTAATGTTGATTCCCGACTGCTCAACTAAACTAATATCAAATTGAGCAGCGGGGAACATGTAAATACATCGCAAGCGCTTGTCGCAAGCTTCCTTTGATCTGTGATCAAAAACCGACACTAGTTACAATCGACGACAAGCTTACGCAAGCCGAGTCAAACACCCTGTTTACACGCTTGCGTTTGTGGACACTTGTCGAGGCTTGCCAAGGCCTATTAGAGGAGGCCTGAAATTAGCGCCGGTGGATGAAAAGTTGAGAAGTACATAGTCTGTATCCTGGCATGATTATGTGATGCGTAAAGATGAGCGAAGAGAGAAAGATTTATCGATGGACTGCGTGAAAGAGGATATGGCTAAAAGTGGAAAAAGCAGTGAATTGACGAGTGACAGAAGAGAATGGAAGAAGAAAACTTATAGCGCCGACCCCAAATAAATCTAGGAAAAGGTTAAGTAGACGTCGATTGCTAACTTCATATTAAGCGTTTTTTTTAACCGACTTCCGAAAAAGAGGAGGTTCCCAATTCGTCGGAATCTTTTTTATGTATGTTCATCGATTACTCGAAGACGCTTGAACCTATTTGGAATTTTTTTTTTTGTTTTAAAGGATATACTTCTCAGGTGGTCCCATTTAAATTTTATTGTAATCGGTCAAGCGGTTTTTGAATAATCAACAAAAATCTAAAAATTGTATATACATCGATGATATTTTTGTTTACTTACGAAACCTTGCTGTCTCATTGGAGCAGTGCATTTAGTTAGTCTTTGTTAGTATTGTTTGAAGTCGGTTCAACTTTTTTGAAAAGGATTTTTTTATACTAGTAATAAACCACCAATAGAGGGATAATTGTCTGTTCATACCGTACCATACCGGATTAAGAATACGGAATGTCACCACCCCTATTCATTCCGTGGGTGTCGTAAGAGCCGACTAAGGGAACAAACTGCACAGGACAACAGCACTGCAAAAAGAAGAAAAACTTGAAACAAACCCTATACCAGCCCGTCTGGCGAGTGTGGTATAGTAGACCAAAACCTCCTTTCTAAGGAGAGGCCTATGTCCAGCAGTGGACTATTATAGGCTGTTGATGATGATGACTTACTGAAAAACGTTCCCACATAAATGGCACGCGGCGCTGTCATCTTCTTTCTTATGACACTTTCTAGCGTGAGTATCTCGTTGTCTCTTTCGCACTTTAACACCGCAGTGACTACAGACATATCGCTCTCTGTGCACGGCTCGATGTGCGCGAAGCACGGCGGTGCTAGCGAAGCGAAGCGTGCACAGAAGACACACGTATTCGCCGTTGGACTGTAAAACATAAAAAAATATATCCATGAAAATTTTTCATTTAAGTATTACAATTGTTTGTAAATTTCTTTATTAAATCGTAACTTCTAAATGGCTGGATGGATTTCTACAGTTAAGGTATTGTTTTATGTATCTTAACAACATAATAAGTGTTCTTAGATGGCAGTTTTTGAAATAAAAAAAAACAAAATGGCGGATTTTTAGCGTAAAATAACCAAACCTATCAAGTAGGGTACCAAAATAAAAAAAAATTAAAGGGATTAAAAAAAATTATATATTTAAATTTAACAAGGAATAATAATTTACTTTCAAAAATTTTTGGTAGCGTAAAAATGGGCCATGTTTGCGTCGGACCTCGTTCTGTTTCGGTCTTTTCATTGCAGTTCTTTTAGTGCAGTCGAGCTTTTGATTTTTTAAATTATAAAATATAGCGTCCAGTGTGCTAGTCATGTAAAATAAAAGTAGTATAAAAACATGGCTATTAAATCAGCTTTATTTGTAGTGATCTGTTTTTGGCTACTTTTGGCACTTTCCATCAGTTTTGTTTGAAAATTAAGTAAAATAAAAGAACAGATTTTTCATCCCCATCACCTGGATAGTTGGCGCTCCACCACTGTGCGCATTTCAAGACACTTTTTGCCCCGAACAACCAATCTCTGGAACGGGTTATCGTCTGCGTTATTTCCGGGCCGATAAGACCTTCAAACTTTCAAGAAAAGAGCGTACTCCTTCCTAAAAGGCCGGCAACGCGTTTGTGACTCCTGAGTTGCAGACGTTCATGGGCGGCGATAGTCGCTTTCCACCAGGTGACCCGTCTGCTCGTCTGCCCCCTCTAACATAAAAAAACCAGATAATATAACTGAAACGAAAAAGAACTATGTGTTACCTCTTCATGCCGCATCATATGAGCTTGATAAGAATCCTTGAATAAAAATCCCAAAGCACAATTATAGCATTTGAACTCAGCGTCCAAGTACTTCTTGCTTCTTCTCTGACCTTCTAACTCTCCTTTCTGCTCTTCTACAGAGAGAAGAGTCTTCTTATAATCCTCTACGATGTTATTACTTGTGATGTTGTGTTTAGGGTTGTCTGTATTAATAATAATAATAATACTTTATTCAAAACCTTGTTACATTTTCACAATAATTATACGATAATGGCTACAGTAGTATAAACTGTGTCGTAGCCATTAACAACCAATATCAATAATCAATTATAATAATAACTTCACACTCCTCACACACGGCTGTCTGAGCCCAAACTAGGCAGACCCTGTACTATGGTACCCAGACTGCTGATAAACATACTTATATATTTCTAAATACATTGAATAGAATATGCTTTATTGTACACCAATTACAGTAAGTTGATTAAATATTATAGATGGAAATGTACAATGGGCGGCCTTATTAAAATAATATAAAAATAATAATAATATTCTACCACATACACACAACGCCATCTAGTCCCAAACTAAGCAGAGCTTGTACTATGGGTACTAGACAACTGATATAAATACATATATACTTTTTTTTGTAAATACATACATATTATACATAGAAACACCCAGACCAAATCAAACATCAAATGTTCATGCACACAAATGTTTGACTTGAGCGGGAATCGAACCCACGACCTTTGGAATAGCAGTCCGTTACACAATAATAGCAATCATACTAGTACGTATCATACTACATACACATTCATACTAATGTTATAAAGTAATGCGAAAGTGTGTCTGACTGTCTGTCTGTTATCTGTTCACGCTTAAACCGCTAAACTGATTTAGATGATATTTGGTATAGCGATAATTTGAGTTCCGGGTAAGGATATTGGATAGTTTTTATCTCAGAAATAATCCTTTAAGGGGATGGGAAATCAATAACCGCTGAACCGATTTTAATGAAATTTGGCATGTAGATACTTTGATTCTTGAGGAAAGACATATACTACTTTGCTGCGATAAACGACATATACACGGGCGAAGCTGCTGATAAAAAAGGTAATTATAGATAAATTACACCCAAGCACGGATGCCAGTGCCCATCACACAATTATTAGGCTCTGGCTTAGCAATTAGGATCGCTTAGTAGGCTACGTCAATTATTACATTCATAAATTATCTATGTACCATTCATTCAATCATTTTCATTCATTCAGGTTATTATAAGCTATAATATTGTAATAAACAGTGACAAGTATTCAATGGATAATAGTGCATCTGCATGAAGTTTAACATTTAAAGATATTGGTAATTCAAAGAAAACGGATATGATGAAAACCCCACCTGTTTCCTCAACGATTTCTCCATTCAAATTATTAGTTATACTTTCATGATCAACATCTTCATTATTTTCATTATTCTCCTCAGTTTTAAAATCTGCATCATTGAATTCAGCATCTTCGAAACTTCCTATACCCGTGTTTATATAACCGTAGCCTTTAAAATCATTGACTGCCTCTGAACCGTCAAATTCTAACTTCAACTGCGTTCTAGAAGGTTCTGTTGACACCGATTCTTCGTTATAAGGTTCAATGGCAGCTGAACAATCTTCTGCAGTGTCTTGTGGTATATATTCATCAAAGTCATTGTTCTCGTCATCAAACTTAACATAATCATTGCTCTGATCTTTGTTATCATCGGTGTAACGAAAATACAGCTGGGTAGCGCTGTTTGTTAAACAAGTTTCCTCTGGACATAATATAAGTGTTTCAATATCACTTCTGTGTAAATTGATTGAAGATTTTTCACTGTAATTAATTAATATTAACTGTATTTCGTTCTATTTACGATTTATATTGCCCGTGTGGTGACGGATTCAGAATACAGAGTATCGCCCTATTCATCCTGTGGCTTTCGTAAGAGCCGACCAATGGAACAAATTACCCAGGACAACAGCACGGCAAAGAGAAGGAAAACTTGACAAAAACTCTATACCAACCCGTCTGGCCAGCATAGTATAGTAGGCCAAAACCTCCTTTCTATGTCCAGCAGCGGAATATTAAAGGCCCGTCGATGGTCGATGGAAAGGCTGATGATGATGACGGTTAATATTAAACAAAAAAATAAAGACATGTCAACAATATAAATACTCGTATTACTATGGAACGAGAATTAGTGCGAACATGTACCTGTTAAATACTTTTGGACACCAGTGGACTGATTAAAACGCCTGTAATACTTATCTATTACTATAAGAACAACCTATAAGAACTTAGCATAAGAAATCTTAGTAATGCAGAGTATTACCCAGAAATTATTTGAACCTTTTGTATTAGATTCGGTAATGGTTTTCACTGGATTATTATTTCGAATACTGAATAGTTGCGGATGCAGTTACGGGACTCCATAAAATTCTTGAGGGAAAGTATCTTTTTTTGGTAGTTTTCTTTAGAGATGGCCTTTAATTTTGTTTATCATAAAATAAGTACTACTAAAAAGGCTGTTAATGCTACATCATTAAAAGACAAAGAAAATAAAAAGTTGCAAAGTTTGTAGTCTATTTATTGAATTTTTTATTTATTTATTTAGATTTCTACAACTAACATACCTCACAGGAATCAAGAAAAAAATTCAAAAAAACTATAGGTGTGCTCCAGGGTAACATATTGGACCCAAAATGATTTCTAGGGTACTAAAAATTAAAGTTGAAATAAAATAAATATCATAAGCTCGGAATTTTATTGCGATGTTAGCATAATGGCTAAGTCGTTGGACTTTTGATCACGTGGTTGCAGGTTCAAATACACAACCAACTGGCAGTGCTAGCTATAGCTTTTTAATGGGATAAAGCATATAGGAATGCAGTAAAAAATACTTTTACTCTTTTAACTTACATTGATGACTTCTTTATAAAAACTTACCTAAACAGCACAGGATACTCATGGCTTCGCTTAATACAAATTGACTTGAAAACCCACAGCTTATTGACCATGTGACAGCAGATATAGCACAACTGGGAGTCAGGGCATAGCTATAAAGAATGTATTATTTTAAATACCAGATTTTTATTTAAAAAGCCTACCGCATTAGGTATATATCCTGTGTTGCAGGGGACTTTACAAACATACTTGAAACAGACACAAAAACACCCAGACTCAGAAAAACAATTTGTGGATCACGCAAAGTATCGTTCCATGTGGGGCTCGCACCCACAACACTCAGCTCACTCATCCGTGCAGTCGTCTCTATTCTGCTACTACTGTTCTAGACACAGGAGATTTGACAAACCAATTAATATTTAATTTATTTTTACACTTCCTGCATTACAATTTACACAAGGTAAACTTAATGCCACATGGCATTTTCTACCTGTCAACTTTTAGATGGTAAAGTAAGGGATATGGCAGGTGTATATAGGTGTATGTAGGGAAAAGAAGCGATTAAGTTACACACAACAAATTACATAATTATTGTTCAGCACACATGAGCTGGCTCGAGCAAAAAACTTATTTCAAGGAATTGTTTCATTCAAATATTATTCTAAATTAGGTAAATAAAAAGTTAATGCAATTTTGTTTAGATTAGACTCAAAAATGCAAATGGCAAACATTTAACAATAAAGATTTTAAGTGACTACTGTACGACCTAGCTTTTATCTTTAAAAGTAGATGAGGGCATTAAGTAGGTGAGACAAAGTACATTATAAGCAGTTTTTAGAACATATCATTGCCCTATTAGAAGAACCTACAAGTAGTCCTTCAGTTTCAAATTGCATACAATTAAAGAATTTTTTTATATTTTACATGCATACATGAAGAATGTTGCCTAAACTACCAAGTTACTGAAGGGTGTTGAAACAAATAGATTGTAATTTACATATGCTTGAGTTATGTAAAAAATATATTTAACATTAGTATTATAGTATAGTATAAATATTAAAAAGTTACATTCATAGTCACAACTTCTCTATACTTTTCACGTGTCTCTTCAGTTGTGTCTGCGTTAACAGCGTTATGACAAATGAAGCATAAGAACGAAGACATTTTTGCATCAAGTAGCTTTTCAGAAACTTAGTACTTAAATCTTTTTTGTAAATAAACAAAACTTAATTTTTCGTTTGACATTGACACTTGACTGTCTATATGTTTTGACAGCACAGAATCGATACCGAAATGCTGATGGCTACTGACTCGAGAACAAAAAATATTTCTCGTTTAGATACAAACAAAACGACTATGCAGCTATAGGCGAAACGAGTAATGCAGTATTTGCCATTTTCCAAATACATTTTAAATAGTTTAAAAATAAAGAATAAATGAGTGTGAGTAGATCTAAAAATATTATTAAAGTCTTACGTTCTACCTACTAAGCTACCGGCTTCATATTTATCAGCAATCTGGTTGCCCTAGTAAAAGCTGTGCTTAGTTTGGAATCAGAATGTTGTGTGTGAAATGTGTGAAGTTATCATTATTATATTTTTTCTAGAAACTCTCTATATTTTCACGGCATTGTAGTATAATAAGTAGTTTATACACAAAAAGTCGTGGAACAAGGAATATCCTAAAACATTGCGTTGGACCCTACTATATAATACAGACCAATTTATTTTAATAAAGAACGGTTAAGCACAAATTTGACTACATATTTATGTTCTACTAATTCCTATAGATTCCATATCAATGGCATCGCAGTCTATTCAATGTGAGCAGTTTAATAACCTCATTAGAAGTGTGTTTCTCAAATAAACGAAACTCGCTCTAATCATTTTTGAAACTCATCAAGAAAATGAAAATACTTTAGAAAAAAAGATACTTCTGATAAAAAGAAAGTTTTCATAAAAACTATGTTGGTAACCGTTATTGGTACTATCATAGCTTTATTTTAGTGTAAAGTATTTTCTTCCCATTATTTCCAAAAAATGTTTAAGAGTTTTTGCAAATCGACTAAAATTTTCGTAACTGATGGGTAGTAGTGCAGCACTAAAAGTCACGTCAGAATCGGAAAAAGGATAAATTTTGTGCCTTGAAGCATATTATTGCAATAAAATTAACACTGTTTCGACACTATTACAAACAATACGATAACTGTAATTAGAACAATTAATCGTGCATTCCTCTTCAACTCGTGTTGAGTAGAAAACTTTGTGTTAATACGTTTTTATCGGTTAACGAAGATGGTTTTGATGTACTACAAAATAAGCGTTTGAATCGTATGAATTGGTGTAGGACTTTTTAATTAGCTGTTTGCGTCGTCTACATTGTGCGTGCGACAATTGCCGGACGTTTGATTCTCGAGATTGCTATTTATTAATCAATGGAGTCAAGAACGTGCCCTGTGTTTCAAATTATTTTTGCGAGTTCAAAATATATTTGATGAACGACCCCTGGAATATCGATGAATCTACCTGTAAGTATTCCTGATTTAAATAAATATAGATGTTTACCATTGCACACTGAATATATTTCTATAATCTAATTATATGGTTTGCTGTAATGGGTCTTTGGCAGACAACTTAGTGTGATTCTTATTAGATAAAGTTTATTAGTTTTTACACATTTGAAATATGTTTTTTTTTTTTAATTATGATTAGGCGATTATGAAAATATGTTTTCTTAATAACATTGTTGTCATTGTTCATTCTATTAAAAAAAAACAGTATTTTTTAGCTTAGAATACCTAATTTAAATAATTTATATTAACACTTTACATTTATAATAATTACATAAGGTAATATTAAAAGTAATCTGCTTGTTGTTTTTAACCTTTTTAAATACATTAAGAATATTAATAGGACCTTGAAACTAACGATCCATTCACAAAAAAATACTAAATTATTTGTGTTAAAAGATATTTGTTTATCATAATTAATGCAAATAAAATATCAATAACAAGAGAAATATTTTTTTTATATTTAAGATGAATACTTCTATCTTTTGATACTAATTATAATTCATAATAGCTATGAATGAAAATTTAATTAAAAGTACAAATTTTTTCCACCATTAAAATCAAAATACTCAAACATACCACTAAAATTAAGAAAAAAAAATTTATAAGTGTATTGTTTGGATTATTATTGTTTGAAGTTGGTCCAAATTAAAAAAAAAGGATTTATTCATGTGAGTTTTATTCCTCACTAATTAAACCACAGTATGCCACAGCAAAGCGTGGCAGGGTATCACTAGTATATAATAAAAACTGTCTTTATTTGCGATTTATAAGAATAAATTAGAATGATTTATAAGTTTCAATTATAGAATTAAAAATCTTGCACATTTTAACTATTAAACATATCTTAATAAATTTACTTATATTAAGTAATTAATGCAATGAATAGGTTTTTCATACCTTTGAGTCAGCCTGTGACCATGACTGATGAAACCAGAAGGTTGATTCTCGTAATAAAAATTCATTCAAAAATTCAGTTCCTGTCTACTCTCGACCTCACAAATGTCCTTCCTTCCTCTGAGCCTTTGTCCCAAACTAGGTTGAGGTCAGTTTTAAATCTACTATATGGCAGATATTAGGTTTTCTATGCAGAGGGACTGCTATCAGATCTCCTCACACGAAATAGGGGATATTGAAGTTCTGTAGAAAGATTTTTTAGGGCTCCAACCTCCAACCATTGCCACAGATTTTCATATGGCAACCGGGACCGATGTCTTAATATGCTCTCTGAGGTACGGAGGGATCTCAATGTGTTAAGAAATAGTCACCCATCCATAGACTGACCCGGGTAAGAATGCTTAATTTTGCCATGCCAAATCATTATTGAAAGGGGAGAAAAGGGGGGGTGGATGTTTGTATGGGGAATCAATAACCGCTTAACTGATGCAGGTAAAGTGCACTAGCAACGGATTTTTTTAAATTCCACCCCAGCATACAAAATGGGGGTTGGCACTACAATGTGGAACAGCAAAGTGTGCCAGGGTACATCTAGTATGTACATAATACTATTGATAAATTACACCCACTAACTTAAAAAAATAAAAAAATGATGTACCTAGGTTGAAAGATGCATTCCCCGAATGAAACTAACGCGAGTGTGGTAGCTTCCAGACTTGTGTTTCGGTCGTGCTTATCGATTGTGCCTTCGTAAAGCCTATATCGATCGCCATGCTCTACGCACCCGAACGATCGGTCTATCGATAGAATCCAGTAAGATTTCGATGGCCCACGTGGAAGGCCGATCGAGCGAGTATAGTTAATGTTGATGGTCGACTTCAAGGCTTTAACTCACAGCGCCCGATCCGTGCCGCTGATACAATCATAGAACGGATGGTTTGATCGAATCGATCGGCTGATCGATAGACCAATTTAGCCCGACCGTACAGGGTTAGAGGCACCTTCCTGATGCTGTCCCTACCTCTATGGAAGTTTTATTTGTATTGGACCAGATGTTTTTCCAACATTGTCTGTTAACAAAGCCATGAAGTACACCTGTTTTAATGTTTATTCTAACTACGTGAATATTACTTACCAGCTGACGATCCGCGCAACTTGGTCTGCGTCTTAAAAGGAATAAATTTACCCCGGTTTTGTAACATTTTTTATCGATGCACGGCTCCTATTGGCTGTAGCGTGATGTTATATAGTCTATAGTCTTCCTCTATAAATGGGCTACTCAACACTAGAATTTTGTTTCAATTCGAAATGGTAATTCTTGAGATTAGCGCGCTCAACCAACGAACAAACTTTTTAGCTTTATAATATTAGTTTAGATATTTTGTCCGGTTTGAAACTGCGAGGAATTGCTAGTAGCTAATATAGGTACAACTAGCTGAGACCCGCGGTGTTACCCGCGTTTGTTGTTATGACCGCGGGCAACACCGCGGGGCGAAGCTAGTCTAAAAAAAGTAGCCTAAGTTACTCCTTATGTCATCAGCTATCTGCCAGTGAAAGTCCCGTCGAAATCGGTCCAGCCGTTCCAGAGATTACCTGGAACAAACAGACAGACAAAAATGGTAAAAAATGTTATTTTGGCATATGTACCGTGTAAACATACATATGCATTTAGTAAAAAGCGGTTATTTCAATATTACAAACAGACACTGCAATTTTATTAATTTGTATAGATTATTTGTATAGATTAATCTACCCTCAGTGACTAATTCGATAATAATCGACGCAGTGCATTCGTACTTAGTAATCAGTTTGGGTTTAATTGGAAAATAAAAATTATATACGCAAATATCGCCTCCAAAAGACATTTTTGCTTCTTAAAGTTTCATTCTAACAGTCAATTATTTGTATAAGTATGGATTATAAAGCAGAAGTGTTTGTTTCGTTGTACGCGTTAATCTCATGAACTACTGAGGTCTCGGGTTCCATTCCCGGGTCGGATCAAAAGTTTGTATAATCGACAAAAATTTTGTTTCGGAGTTTGGGTGTTTTCTGTGTATAATATGTATGTATTTACAACAAAAATGTATAAAGGTAGTATTTCAGTCTAACTAGTTTTCATAGAACAAGGTCTGCTTAGTTTGAAACTAGATAGCTTTGTGTATTATTATTATACTGGTTCAAATTGAAAATGTCTTCTAGTAATGGATAGTCCATTTATCACAGGTTTACCCTAGTTCAGGCAGGCAGCGACTAAAGTTTTTAACAAAATCGTAATATCTTTAGGTGTAGAAAATCATACAATATGAATCATACAACCATAAGAATAAAATAACACTACTATAGATTTACGCTAGCGTAACTTAGTCTAATTATTGTCTAAGATCTATGTTAAACTGAAATGCCCTACACTGTAATATTTATATTGGTCAATTAAAAATATTATTATAAGAAAAAAAAAAAACGAGAAAGTCTATAGGTATATATATCACGCTACAACCAATACGAGCAACAATTAAAAATTTAAGCAAAAACAGGGAAAATTGATTCCTTTCGAGAGACGCAGAATGGTAAAAACATATATGGCCAGGCTCGACCGGGGTGATACCAGGGCCTCTCAGAAAACCGGTGTTAAGTAGTTCTTTCATTAGTTTTTACTATACATGGAAATTATTGCTACTTTTAAATCATATTCATTTGA